TTTCTTCTCTTCTTGGGGCAGTTCATCTAGGATCATGCCACAAAGCTTGCACTTGATTCGGCTGGTTGTCTTGCTGGAACCTGAACGATCTACCTGGGCATGCGTGCATGTGGTAGGGTCGACCTGAACCTGTTCTTTGCGAGTCTTGGTTACCGTGCCACAGGACTTGCATGTGCGCATGTCTATGTACGAATTGCTCCCTGTCTTGCTAAAGGTCTTACAACCACCCCTGCACTTGGGCCGGAAACCGGTACTGGATGAGGCGGTGCCTTCAGCGTTGGCTGCGCGGTCAGCAACGGGAGTTGGGGGCATCATCGTACTAAGAGGGATGTCTCTTCTACGCACTTCTATGGGGTCCGTGTCTTCTACCACATAGTGCTCATGCACCCAGTTCAGGAAATCACCCAGACACTTGGAAGGACACTTCTGTGTTTGACCCCAAAGGACATACCCAGGATAGGTGTGCAGCACTCGTTCATACGTCAGGCCTTTGTGATGACCAAAAGTAAACAAGGTGTCAGATCCTGGCGGTGGGCTGTCACGCATGGCAGTGGCTTCCGATCTGCGAACACGAGGACGCTCTGAGGGTCCTCCGCTCCAATCAGCGGGATAGCCCTCCATGTCTCTTGAAGTGTTGGAAAGGTGAATGGCAGGGGTCTCATCGTCCGATGCGTCACTCAGTGCGGCAAGGTAGGCTTGTGAGGAGGGTGCCATTCCGGGCTTCCCGGATGATGAGGCGGACTTCTCTGCACCTGGACCACCCTTACCGGAACCCTTAGGACCTCCAGGACTACCCTTAAACCTGCACTCAGCGTCACCGGCCCAATGACCGATTGCGCCGCATCGCAAGCATCGGCTGCGAGCCTTCAGCTCGGCAAGTTTGGCTTTCCTGTCGGCGATAGAAAGATTGGAAGGAGGGACCTTACCACCCTTCTTACCGCCAGATTTACCAAAACCCTTACCTTTGTTACCCTTCACATTGGCAAGTGTTGTTTGGGCTGCGTATGCCAGCTGCAATGCTTCGGCGTGCTCCTCGCCTGGCTCGCCTCCAAGCTCTGTCTGCATAGCTGTATATGCATTGAGAGCCAAGGCTAATGCACTGTCATCAACCCATTCGCCTTCGTCTTCCTCGATCTCATGCTCCTCGGCTACATAGGCCTGACTTTCTGGCTCCTGGTACTCATACTCGTCATCCTCCACGAAACCCTGTGTCATGTAACCGTACCGAGGCTTCTGCTGAAATGAGGTATTCTCCCACCGGGGCTTGGACCATGTTCTAGCGGCAGGCTTGTCTTTCTCAACGAGCAAGCGTTCACGCATATGCACAACACTATGATGCTTGATCAATACGCGCGCATACTCATCTACTGTCTCGGCTTGTGCTGCGGTGCGCACCATGAGCTGCTCTTGGCGCGACAAACCAGACAGTTCCACAAGGAGATTGGCACGCATGGCCTCTGACAACCTGACTTCTGGGTCCAATTCCCTTAGGGTAACCCACCAGCGCTTTCGCCGGGAAATGTAAGACAACATCGGCTCCCCTGATTGTTTGGACAAGGGACCTGTCAGCAACTGGCCTTGCCTGAACAATTCCGATGCCTCTTCCCCCTGCAAGGGAAATGCTTGGTCTTTGACCTTCTGAATGAGAAGATCAATGCCGTCGTGCTTCAACAACCTCTCGAGACCTATGTCTCGGGCGATAAGAAAGGCGTCGCCACGGAGGCCTTCCAGCGTCTTCTGAACTGCATCAGACATGTCAAGATCACTATCGCGGACCGAAGCGAGTGTGGGAACAGGCTCAGTCTCAACCGAAGCTTGCCCGTCGTCCTCAACCTCATAATCTTGTGGCTGTTGCTCTTCTTCGCCACCGTCTCCTGACGACATGGACTCCGCACCGGCCTGGCGGCCGCGCCGGCGTCCTGGGGCACTTGAAGGACTGGCTGCCATTCCACTGCTCTCATCACCTGTGTGACGGTCCGGGGATCTTATGCCACCACCTACCCACTTTCGTGGGGATGCAGAACGGCTGAGTTGGTGGCTGGAACGAAGGTCTTTCAAGACCTCTCGACGCTGCCTTTCACGATGCTGGGATACACGGGCACGTGTGCGAAACTCCCAGTCGTGGAAGGACGCTGCGGAGCCGCTGTAAATGTAGCTTCCTGACTTGGTTTCTGCTGGGGTGTCAAGGCTAAGTACAGGGTCGTACTTTAACCCAGCTACCGACATGGTGTCGGATTTGCGCAGTGCAGTGGTCTATTGTAGACTGGCAATGCTGACGTTCTTTCGGCTTCTTGGCTCACACCCAAATCCCCCTTAGCTTTCTCTTCCGGACGAGATTGCTGCGAGGAATGAAAAACGTGTCACTGAGCTCCACAGCTCCGCTACCAGTTTCAGAAGCGGGGTACTGGGGCCGGAGTCACAGTGACTAGACTACGTAGCTTGCTTTTTCCGATTGAGCCCAAGGCGCCTGTCATGCAGGAACTTGTCTCATGAATGCTATTTGACGCTTGCATGTTTGTTCATGCCTATACAAGTGTTCGTCTAACAGCTTCTGCACTATACGAAATCCAACTCGGCGCTTGTGTACAGGAAAATCTCACAACCCTTAACCCTAAACCCTAAACCCTAAACCCCTAAACCCTAAACCTGAATCTCTCTTGGGGGGGCACTTCTGGAGGGCCTTGACATCCTTCATGAAGCCCTGCAGCTCTACTCCATGTGGTTGAGGGTTTAGGGTTTGGGGTTTAAAGGTCTGGGGTTTAGGGTTGGGGTTTAGGGCTGAGGGCTTAGGGTTCAGGGGTTTGGCTTGATAGGCTTCTAGGCGTGTGTTTAAGGGAACCCTCCACCCCCTTAAACCCCGAAATTGGGAGTTCGGGCACTGTTACCCAGCACTTTGCTTGGCGGACCCCGGGCTTCTTCAGCATCCCAACCCAAGAACCCATTCAGGGGCCACGTTCAGGGACCTGAAAGGTCCCTTTAAAGGGAGGCCTTCAGCTCCCTTAGCACTACGTAGAGCCGACAGGGCCAGCACAACTCATACGAGCACAAGGGCTTAGGGGGTTTGTATTCTTAGGGCTTAGTATCTCGTAATCCCGAAGCCTGAAACCGGCCCAGGACATTCATTCGACCCTCTGCTGTGCTTCTTAGCATGCTCAACAATCGTTTGGGTTCGCTGTCCAGCAATGCTTTTCTTGATGCCATAGGCCTCGCCAACCTGGATATGAAAACCGCAATGGCGATTGACATCTTGACCTGAACGCTTCTCGGGATGTTCTTTACCTGCACCCAATAGTCAGATTGACCATCGCAATCTGGTTCTTCTCGTCATCATCAACGAGTTGTTGAGGCTGAAAGGCTTTCCGGTTCAGAGGCCTAGAATCTACCCTAAACCCTAAACCCTAAACCGAAAAAAAAAACTTAAACCCCCAAATCAGGGTGCATAGGGCTTATCAGCAAAACTTTAGGCCGTTAGGGTTGAAGAGATTCAACCCGAAGCCCGAAATTCAATAGGGCACTTGGGTTCTGTGGGATTCCTAGACCCTAAGCCCTTTAAACCCTAAACCCCAAACCCTGGCGTGTCAGGTTTACGGCAGCACGCCCGACGCCTGATCCTTGTTCATGATCGTCATGGACTTCAAGGGCATCTTGAGACCTCGACAGCTGGGGTAATATAGGGGCCTTAATGGTTAGAATCGGGTTTTGGGGGAGGGGGGGGTTACTATATGCTATAGTTATATAGGAGCCATAAGGGAATACTACTAGTAAATTATTCCGACCCCTATGCTGGCTGGGGTTCAAAGTTTAGCTCAGGGTTTTTGTTCAGATTAAGGGTTTAGGGTCCAAGGCCTCAGGGCCTACTGAGAGGGCCCTGAAAAGGTGTAAGTGCCGTCGTAGATAGAAATATGGTAGAGAGAGTTTTGGTGCAGAGTCCCTGAACCTCAAACCCTACATCCCAGCAATCATCTTACAATAAGGTTAAAATCCAATTTCTTCGGCTGGTTGGTGTTTTAAAAGGGAGGTCGGAAATCACAAAGCTTCCCAGAATCAGAGCACACACACATAGAGAGTGGGCTAGGAACTGGGGGCTTGGCCCACTTTCCTTCTTTCCCGGCAGGTTCGGCCAAGTTCCACCACGGACTGCATTCGCCTGCGGCTGAGGCTGCCAGGCTGATCGATGCGAGCTGACCTATGTCGGACCTATGTGGCTGCGCCTGGTCTGAACCCTTAAAGCCTAAGGCCTGAACCCCTGAAATCCTTATAAGCAACTTAAGCCCTGGAACCCCTGGGCCCCTGAATCCCCTGAACCCGAGACGCCAATGCCAGGGGCGAAGCCAGGCATCTTATCAGCACTTTCGAAGACTTTCAAATTGCATTTTCGGATTTAGAACTATTGTATACTAGGCGTTTAGAACCTACGTGTTGGGCGTTGTGTTGGGTGTAGGTACGCGACTTGCCGCTGCCCCGTCTCAAGACAGAGCTCGCCCCCTGGAAGGGACAGCGGGCAGCTACCTGCAGCGCGCAGACGATGGAGAAGTTTACACGGCATCAGTGAGCGACCAGCGCCAGAGCCGGCGCCAGAGGCAGCTCATGCGCCAGGCACCAGGGCCAGCGCGCACGCGGCGAGAAGCGACTTTGGACCTTCTGATCATCAGAAGCCACCGTGCTTGGAGTCAATCTTGGACCACTGGACCGTGAGCTGGACAAGTGGGCTGATTGCCAGCAAATTGTGACTTTAGTTCAATAGCTGCATTCGATGGCGTTTCACGCAATCGCGCCTTCGTTGCGATGACTTCCGCGGAAAGGACGAGCGGACAGGCGCCAGTGAACCAACACATATAGCTGGTAATTAAGTTGGGCAGTTCTTTGGCGCTCTTCATAATGTGGTTCATAGATGCCTGGGTGTTGGCCAAGCCGCAAGCTAGGCTTATGTTGCTGCACGCATCCTGGATACGACTCTGGGCAGAGCTGCAGGAGCGCGTACGCTAAGGATTATGACCTTTCTAAAACTGGGAAGTAGCATCGATGAAAGCCCTGAAGACCTCAATCAGCTCATTTTCGCACACCCAAATAAAAACAAGCCGCCTGACCGCCTGCGTGATGTCCTCATTGATGGCCTCAGTCATCAAACAGGTTGGGTGTCTAGAATTGACTTTGCACATGATGCCCAGGGGCTAGCGCGCAAGAATGACAACGACCTTCAACAAGCCTCATGCTCAGACCTTCAGCAGCTCGCAGCAAGCAACAGCGGCACCAAACTCCAGTCGCAAAACAACAAAAGGGTTTACCGCAGGGCTTAAGGTTCCGGACCTCCAGCTTGCCCGAAAACCTGAAGCCTGCGACCCAACTGTGGCCGCGCACACTGAGGTCCGGCTCGGGGATCATGACCCAGTGCACGGATTTCGCCTGGCGAAGTCTCGGCTCTGTGGAGGTCTCTTGTGGGGATTTTGGTTCAGGGCTCAAAGACTCACAGAGTTTTTTGGGCTAATGGGAGTGTCTGTGTAAGGACTGGGGGTGGGGGTGCGCGTGAGGGCTTAAGGCTTGCAGGGCCCCCGCTCCCCAGCCTTCATGGGGTGCCCGTCCGGCAGAGCTCGGGCCAAGTTTTGGTAGATGTGCCTGGCAGACGCTGCTTCTTTGGGTTTGGGACTCGATCCAGGATCCAGGGCTCAATGTGGGGCTTTCTCTTGCTGTTTTGGGAAGTGAAGAAGACTAGGGAGCCCAAACACATTATAACATTCGTTTTCAGTAACTTTGGAATTAAGGACAAGAAAGATGTTGGAACCCGAACCTTGAACTCGAAGAAAAGGGCCCCCATTCATGCAAACTCAGCTTGGGCAATCCATGGATTCGATTCTGGCCTTCTCGTTATCATTCCTCGCGCCTTACTTAGGCTTATATACAGCTCTAGGGTGTAGTGTGGGGGCCTGGGGCCGAAAGATTTTGAGAATCAGCATGAGAGATCGTTTCAACACCAACAGCCTAAGTGCAACGATTTCCTCAGGCTCGAGGCCCTACAACCCCTAAAGTCCTGAAGACCTAACAATGAGAACTCTAGAGCCCAAATCTCCAACATCGTAAAACCCTACTAACCTCCTGGAGCCGTACAACTCCCAAACACCCCCAGAGCACCAACCCAACCTCCCGGTGCAGCCCCTCCGCCCCCACACACACTTGCATAGGGCATCTGCATCTGGTTCGTTTAGGGCTTCAGGTTTTCTTTTGGGGGGTGAAGGGGGTTTGTGCTTTTGGCGTCAAGCTTCGAGGGTCTGGGGACTATTGAAGGCTGCTACTGCTAGAGGTTTGGGGATTGAGTCAAGTACGAGAACTCAGGGTTAGGGATGTGGGGGTCCCTCATAACTTGCCCCAAGAGGAAGTTTCAACATGTGCCAGAGATACTCCGTGATGAAGGGGACAACTGGCGCGAGGCAAACCTCAGCCAGCCAATGCATGAAAGAACGCGGAATCTCATTGTAGCCAAGGGTTCGAGCTCTACTAGAGTCTAGAGCGTGGGATGTAGGCGACGGGATTTGAGGTATGGGAACGCAAACATGGAGCCTCCTGTTTTAAGATTCACTGTGAAAGAAATCGAGCGAGTCACTGCACTACGCCCCTCCAGTTACAAACAACCAGCTTCAGGTACGAGTTGAGGTCTAGTCTGTGACACAAACCCCACAAACTGAAAGAGGATTTAAGGCCAAACCCGAAACTTCTTGATTGCTAAACTCACTAGGCCTTAAGCATGGGCAACATTAACTTGAAGTCTTGAAGCGAGAGATGACATGGAAGGGAGGTGGAGACGTCTTCCACGAAATGTGTAAAAGGCCTTGAAGGGGACCCGCGTTTCAACAACCCCAAATGAATCAGGAGCATCCAGTTTGGGGTAGGGAAAAGTAACCTGCTAAACTTTTTGTCGACGAACGTGTTCCTGACCTATAGCCAAGTAGCCCAAGCACCCTGACCCTAAACCTCCAACTCAGACATGAAGGAGGGGACCACTCGTCGCAGCAGCAACCGCGATGCCCAGGGTTTAGGGCTGAGTCCCACAGATTGAACCCTAAACCCTAAACCCTCAACCCTGAACCCTCAACCCTAAACCCTGAACCCTGAACCCTGAACCCTAAACCCTGAACCCTGAACCCGAAACTGGCCGGGGGCGCAGTGACATTGAGCAGCACCTCGTAGAGGGCGCTCAGCGATGTGAACGCCTGGCTCCCCGAAACCCCACAAAGAGCCAGGGCCCAAGTCTGCCCAGTTTAGGGCTTACTATAGGGGCCTGAATAACTAGAGTACTAGAGGTAAATTTTCAAAGGGACCATCAGGGAATACTATTGGTGATAATTCCGACCCCTATAGTAGGACTTAGGAATGCAGGGATTTGGGTGCAGGCTTCGGGTTCTGGATTCTGGAGCCTACAAACCAAGCCCTACAAGACGAAAAAACATTGGAATGTAGAGGTCAAAGACCTAGACGCGTGGGGCGTTCGGGCTGCAGGCCCCCAACAGCCAGAACCCCTCTCCCACCACAAACCACGAACAAACTCGCCAGACGGATGATCGGTAGGGTTTAGGGCCTAGGGTTTAGGATTTTGGGTTTAGGGTTTAGGGATTTGGGGTTTAGGGTTTAGGGTGCACCCGGCCTCCTCCAAGCCATTGCTGCCTCGCATCCTGGACATGCTCAGGTTCAGGGTTCTGTACTCCCCTTAGAACCTCAATCAAAATGGTATTCTTTATAGCCTCTTGGGTTTTATATGAACAGACAGAGATTAAAAAATGATTCCCAATAAGGGGGATATAGGGTTAGGGCCCAAGACGTTGCGGAGGGGAGAGTGAGTCACGGGGGGTTTGGGTCCGGGTCCAAAGCTATATGAACCACGCCAGACCATAAACTCCTCAACCCTTTAGCTGTGTTGTTTCAACTTCAACTTCTCCTGGCATTTCGGGCTTGCCGTTTTGACTTTGGTAGTTTGCGCACTTGTCGCAACATCGCGTATTCATCTACAAATCCTGACAGACTCCTCGGCTGGAGAGGCGTAAGGTTGAGCCAGCTCTTGCTGAAGGTCCCGTTGCGTCGGTGTACGAGCGGGCTTGTTGTTTCTGTTTGGGGCTTAGGGTTGAGAGCGCAGGCGAACACCCGAAACCGTACACCCTTCCATGACTGGAAAGGTCAGCGACGTTGAACAAAAAGGGAGCCGACACGAACCAGCCACTTTCCAGCAACTGTATAGTCGGCCTTGAACCATGAGCTCTGAACGCCAAGGCCTAAGCCGTGAACCCTGAACCCCGAACCCCTACACCTGTCAACCCTTACGTTCTAAACCCCAGAACACCCCTGAACCCTTCGACCCCATGACAAAAAAAACGCCCGAAGCACTTCATTACAAGCGCGCAAGGTGCCTGTCGCGGTTCAGCCGAACATACCTCTGCTTGTCCCAAAGGGTCTTTGGTAGGGCTTACGGCTTCGGGTTCTAGCGCACTCGGGTTCGGGGGAGAGGCATTCGGGTCCGGCAGGTTGGTGTTTAGAGAAACCCTAAGTAACCCCAAGCTCTCATGGGGCGCACACCCCTGCAGAGCGCCACGACGATGGAGGAGCGCAGCTGAAAACCCTGTAAGCACCACGGAAACGCTAACATGCCAACCCGAACACCTCAAACCTTTGTTATTAGTAGCCGCGAACCCAGACCAACTTGAATACCTAAGCCCAAATAGTGCGAGCTTTACGTCCAAACGAAAACAACCCCAACCCTAAACCACAGACCCCTGACCCCCACTCGTTGGGCTCTTAGACTTTTGACCCTGCATGCTGGGAACAGCACCCGAAAAGTTGAAGAACTGGCTATCCACGAATCTTACGAGCCCTAGACACAACTCAGGGGCACCAATTCGTCAGGTCCTCCAGAAAATCCCTGAGCGACAAGTCTGGCTCGGGATCTGTCACGACATATACACTCACCAGTACTACCAAAAAGGAACCTTATGTACACTCAACCCATAACAGTAACATAAACCCTACTTCAGGCAGTGTTTCGGGTCCACTTGTCTTGTGTTTTTGGGGTCGGCAACCTGTAAGACCCGAGATGGCTTAGGGTTGTAGGGTTTGTCAGGCTTCTGGACTTTCTGGGCGCCCGAGGCGTCTACAAGCGGCCAAAGGAGGGTTGCCCAGGCTCGAAGGCGGCAAGCAAGATTCAAAACCAACACACCTGCAAACCCGACACCCTTAGCCAAAGAAACTCTAAACCTTGTAAGCCGATTGTCAACATCCTAACACACCTTGCTCAGCCCTAACCCTGCATATACGTGCAAACCCTAATAGACATGAACCCGCCCAATTAGCCGTGTGACCCGATAAATTCCGCAGGGCCCAAACCCTACAGCATAAAGCTCTAAACCGTATAAACCCAAAAAAGCCAACACAACCACGCCAACCCTCTGCGCCCCTTAGCCATATGAAAGCACAAACATCCCCATTCAATCTATCAAACCCCACGCCGCGAACCCTGAAATGCCGGTGTTCTGGGGATCTCTACACCAGCTGCGGAACGACCGTGTAGAGCCGATACGCCTCCATCTCCTGGAACGACCCCCTGCTCTACAGTCGGGCTCTTATGGTTCATAGAGTTTCTGGGAGTATATAGGGTTTAGGTTTTCGCGCCCCTATTTCGGGCTTGTAAGAGCTTAGTTTCTAGGTTTATGGGGTTTAGGGCTTAGCGCCCCCTATTTAGGGCTTGTAAGATTTTAGGATGGGGTCTGTGGGGGTTTGGGCAATTGCATTCGTCTCTTCCCAGTTCCATGAAGGACCCTACACGGCAGCTCAGTTTCTGAATTAGAAGGGTTTACGGTTTTAGGGGTTGGGAACAGCAAGGTTCAGGGTTGAAGGAAAAAAGGGATGGCGGGAAGAGGGCCCGAGAACGCGTCGGTTTGGGGCTTTAGGGCTTCGGGGCTTCGGGGCTTGAGGCATTTAGGGCTTGGCTTGGGCGGTACATGAAAAGTTCGTTTCCTGTGTTCCGTGGTTGAGGTTCCAAGATTCAGCCCTAAACCCTAAACCCTGAACCCTAAACCCTAAACTCAGTCCCACGAGCCGACAACGCGCTGGCGGCTCCTTGCGGACGAACTGGATGAGGCCATGCATCGATGCAAAGATCCACTGATCCATGTGGTTCGTGCTGGCCTGCTTGGGGTTTAGGGTTTAGGGTTTAGGGTTTAGGGTTTAGGGTTTAGGGTTTAGGGTTTAGGGTTTAGGGTTTAGGGTTTAGGGTTTAGGGTTTAGGGTTTAGGGCGTAGGGCTTAGGGCTTAGGGCTTAGGGTTTCGGGTTTCGGGTTTCGGGTTTGGGGTTTGGGGTTTAGGGTTTGGGGTTTAGGGTTTAGGGTTTAATTAGGGTTTAGGGTTTGGGGTTTGGGGTCCCCAAACCCGAAACCCGGTTTGGGAGCTGGTGCTGTGCCGAATCCCGTAAAACCCTGAGTCTGCCTCATAGTTCTTGCGGAGATGTCTGGAGCCCACCATGCGCTGGGCCCCCACACCCAAGGCTTAAACCCTGAACCTTAAAAACCCTATAAACCCTACAAACCCCATAAACCCTGTAAGGCTTTATGAGCCCAATAAACCCTACAAAGCCTATACACCCTAAACACTACTAAACCCTATAAACCCTAAGCCCTGAACCCTAAACCCTAAACCCTAAGCGCTAAACCCTAAACCCTAAACCCAAACCAAAGAGTCCGACCTTGACTTTGCCCGACGCGGGCCTTGGTTCAGGTTGCATGCCACTTGGCGTCGTTGTTCTTGATTTGAAGGGTTTGTGTTTTACTGGGCTTAGGGCTTAGGAATAAAAATTGGTGCCCTTGTTGGTTTGAAGTTTAAAGGGGCTTAGAAGGGAAGAAAGGGAATAAGGGCCTAGTCTGGGTCGTGCTACGCTTCTTGTAGGGCTTGAAGTATACAGGTTTGAAGGTCGGGGGGATTTTCAGGAAGGGAGTTGCAGGCTTGGGGGTCTTTGGGGTAAGGCGGACGCGGCTAGCTGAACAAGGGGGCCGGAATTAGGGGTTTGGTGTTCTGCGTTTAGGGGGGCCGAGACTTATGAGGGCAGCCATTTTCAGAATAAGCGGCGAGAACTTCTTGCCGCTGGCGCCCTCATAGCGGTAGCTCTCCTATTGCGGCTTCGGGGGTGGAGGCATGGAGCTGAGGGGCCTTGCTGGGTGAGAGAGGCGTTGAGGGTTGGTTTAGGGGTTCAGTGTCGTGCAGGGGCCTAATGCTTTTACAGGGGCTGGGGAGTTTAAGGGTTTGCGAGAGTTTTAGGATCTATAGGGGTCGGCTTCAGGGTCCAGCCCTGAGGCAAAGCAAACCGCTGATCCTGCACCCGCAAACCCCCTAAACCCAACCACCAGAAACCTCAGCCGAACTACCACCGCGCTTGAGGCTACCTGTCCAAACTCCCCTCATCCCGAAGCCACGGATCCTGGACGAGGAAGCGGTAGGCATTGAACATCGGCAGGAAAACGTCCTTGGTGCCCGGGGCTGGGGGGCTTCCAGCCTTGAGGGGGCTTTGAGATCAGTTTCGGGCTCGGGATGCCTACACTTTCCGGAGCCCCTCAACCCCGAGCCTCACATGGAATCAAGAGCCCCAAGCAGAAAGAGAGGTTTAAGGCTGGTTTAGGGTCTAGGGTTTAAGGGTTCACAGAAGGTTAATTTTGAGTCTTCGGTTGTTTGGATGCCTTGGGCTGGGTGCCTGTGGTTCAAGACTTGAAGCTTTCTGGCTTGGTCTTTTGGGGTGCCACCCCATGGAACTAAGCAGCTTTCCCAAGGAAAGTTTGGGGGTTAAGGGTCTAGGGCCTAATGGGGGCAGCCAGGCTTTCTGGGCAAAGCCGGCCATGAAACCCTAAACCCTAAACCCCAAACCCTAAACCCTAAGCCCTTAACCCTAAACCCTTAAACCCTTAACCCTAAACCCCAAACCCTAAACCCCAAACCCTCCATTCCATGCCCTGATCCCCGCCTTCACGACGTCCCTCACGCCCTCTTCCTGTGGGAGAGGGCTGAGGGGCCGTCTTCTCCGTCCAAGACCGGTTTCGAGGGCTCTTGGCTTCGGGTGCTTCCGGCAATGGGACCGAGAGGTACAAGAGAACTCCCTGTTTTTGTTGTTTTTGGCGTTGGGGGGGGGGGGGGGGGGGGGGGGGGGGGGGGAGGGCGGTTCTCAAAAATAAGGTTTATCGTATCTCGAGGAGTATTCAGGGTATCCGCTTTTTGAGGGAAACACGGAAACACCCGTTTAGAGATGGATCCAAGATCCACGTTAGGTCGAAGGGGCCGATGGTGCGTGCTTGGGATGTACGCGCAAGGCTTTAGGAGATTTTGTGTAAGGTTGCTGGTTCAGGGCTTGACGACTTCAGATTTTCGAAAGCGTTGCTTCAAATTGCGGGCAGAGGAGGTTTACGTTCAGTTTCTTGGCAAATGTGTCCGATTCTGGGCATGCCTCAGGCCCGCCAGGAGCAGTTGACAAAACACTTCACTGCGCAAGTGGTGGCAGCCTGCTTGTGCTGTTGCGGCTGCTTGTCCTGTTCAGCCTAGGTGTCATTGTCTGCTGTATTGTATCCTTATTCTTCTGTTGCTTCTTCTTGTTGCTGCTGCCGCTACCCACAAAGGCTCCAACTGGTGCACATCGAATCACCCTAACTGCACACAAAGTTGCACCCGACGGCGAAAAAAAAGGCAGCAAACAAAAAGCTCAGGCAGCTGCAACATGACCTTTTCTCCCAAACCCCTACGCCCCTAAACCCCTAAGCTTGGGATGCTCCCCCTACCTACACTAACAGTCATCAGATGTCCTCAGCAGGGATGATAGCACCCCCTATTATAATCCCTACTAAGGACTGTTAGTATAAGGGGGAACATCCCAACCCTAAGCCCCCTAAAACCTGAACCCGGTACTCCTTGAACTTCAGAGGCTCGGCCCGGACCACACCCGAGTTCAGCATGTACATCCGCACCTGACCACTACGAGGGCTGACTTCAGCTGGGGCCCAGGGCCTTAGGGCTGCAGGGTTTATAAGGGCTTAAGGGTCTAGGGGTTTGGGGGTTTAAGGGGTTAAGGGGTTACTGAAAGCCCGGATTCGGGAAAGCAGGATTCGAGAAACCCACTGCTTCAGGAAACTGCAGAACGCGGATTCGGAAACCAGGTGATGCAGGAAGCTGCGCGAAACCGGTTCACGTCATCGTCCCCCCCCCCCCCCCCAGAGCCCCCTCAACCCCCTCAACTCCCTCAACCCCCTCAACGCCCCAACCGCCTTGGACCCCCTCAACCCCCCTCAACCCCCCTCAACCCCCCACACCCCCCCTCAACCCCCCTCAAATGGCAGCCCCGGCGCTGCGTCGGCGCCGTGGTTCTTGGCAACGTCCTCTGCGTGACAGGCTTGAGGAGATGGGGGCAAAGCGGTCTCCGGGAATTTGTTTCGGGTTCGGGGCTTTGGGGGGTTTGGGGGGTTTGGCGGGTTTGGGGGGTTGGGGGTTTGGGGGTTTGGGGGTTTGGGGTTTTGGGGGTTTGGGGTTTTTGGGGGGTTGGGGGTTATTGGGGGGTTGAGGGTTTGGGGTTTTGGGGGTTTGGGGTTGGGGGGTCTTGGGGTTTTTGGGGTTCTGGGTTTTCTGTTGGGCTTTTGCTTTTGGGGTTTTTGCAAAGTCTCCCCAAACCCGACAAACCTCAATCCGTTGATCCCCGCACTCCCAGACCCATCACAAGTCCAAGAAGTTAACTGCTTACACCTGTGCAGGCTTTTTGTTGATGTTGAGCCTGGAGGGTCTCCCTAAATTTCTCAGCGGAGGAACCGCCTACAGCAAAAAATTGCGGGCGCGCAGTCGGACGTCCACTCTCACAAGCAGGAGGTTAGGGTTGGGTTTAAGGTTCAGGGCTTTTGGAACACCCGAGATAAAAGAACTCAACCCGAAACACTAGGCCCTAAAGGGTTTCGACCATAAACCCTTCTGGAGTGCTTTGTGGATGGGTGCAGCGACGTTCCCGGCTTAAGGCTGTGGGGAGTCGTCAGCTTTGCAGAGAAGGGGTCAGAACAATTACAGGATTTGCCAGACCCTCAAAACCCCAAATCCTGAACTCCTTGCAGGGTTTGTAGGGCATTATAGGGCTTACAGGATTTCGGAGCTTGTAGGGCTTGTAGTGTTTAGGGAGACTTCGGGGCTTTTTAGGGTTTGACTTGTAGGAGGTTTGCGGAGCTTTTGGGGGACTCATGGGCTTTCGGGCTTGACGGGTTTGAGGCTTCGGGCTTGTCGTTCAGGGTTTCGGGTTTAGGGTTTAGGGTTTAGGGCTTAGGGTTTAGGGTTTAGGGTTTGGTGTGTCGGGTTTCGGCTTCAAGGTTGAGGGCTTGGGACTTGAGATGCTTGCTTTGAGTGTGGAGTCAGCATCGCTTGCAACGCGCAGAGCGCCCTGGAGGAATTGTGATTTAAAGCATACGTGGGAAGCCAGAATATGGCCAGCTCTCTACAGGGCACGCCCTCTATTTTTGGGGGGGTCCCTGCTATCATACGGCTATCATACGGCCCCTGCAGACTCCTCAACCCGAAGCCTTCAACCCCAAACCTGGCCCTATCGCAAGGTCGTCATAGCATGATGAGGCCTCCCCCACCCGAAACACTGAACCACCAATCTTGGAGCTTGGGCTCAGAAGGTTCTGAGAGTCCCCCCATCTTATGCTCCTCAAGCTCTAAATCCCTGAGTGCCACAACTCTTCCCTAAAGTTAATACCCACAACCCTTTTGTAGAGTTCACATTACTTGTATTCGATAAGCAACTTAAGCATTCAACTGACAGACATTTTAGTTGACATCTTGGGTTTGCACTTAATTTTAGAAACACATTGTATTAGTGCTGATGTTTGTCTCCGTCTCCGTGTCTTGTCATATCATTCGCAAAATGCACCACAATTATCAAATCAAACCTACATCCCTGAAACCCAATCTACGCAGCTCAGATGGCAGTGCTGGGCGGCTGGCAGCAGTTCGTGCACAACGCGGGCACGAGCATTTCCGGCGAGGGGAAGGGGTTTAGGGGTCAAAGGTCTAGAGGGCTTAGGGCTTTAGGGTTTAGGGTTTAGGGTTCAGGGTTTAGGGTTTAGGGTTTAGGGTTTAGGGATGCCGGTGCAGCCCGAAACCCAGCTTGCTTGCACTGCCCTGTTGCTAAGAGCCCCCCGATCAGACCTTCGAGAAGGCCTCCAGGGCCTGGCCAATGGTATCCACCTTGTCCTGGCGAGAACGGCTAGAGGCTAGGGGGTTTAGGGGGTTTTGGGGGCGGGTTTGGGGGGTTTAGAGGGTTTTGGGGGTTTTAGGGGGTTTAGGGGGTTAGGGGTTTACAGTAGGGGGTTTAGGGGGTTTAGGCTAAACCCCGGAAAGCCCGAAACCCTGAAACCCTAATCCCCGGCCCTCAGATCCTAAACTCCAAACACGAAGTGGAGGCTGCAATTGATTCGGCTGCCAAAAACTCTGGGTTTGGGGCTTTGGGCTTTGTCCTTGGGGTTGGGGCTTTGGGTTCAGAGTTTGGGAAGATGTGAGTAGTACGTTTTAAGATGTGGATAGTACTTTGACCGTACCTTAAGATGTGAAGAGGCGCGAGCCCTGAGGGAGACCCCTAAAGCCAAACCGCCAAAAGTGGGTCTTCGGGTGCTTGGACTGCACCCAGACTCCGAATCCTTCGGCCTTACGGCCCAAAGCCTACGCGCCCGTGGCCCTGAACTGTAAGGTTCCTCCGAAGCCCCGGACCCGAAGCCCAACAGCCTCCCCGGGTTTACAGGGTTTATGGGGTTTATAGGGTTTATAGGGTTTATAGGGTTTATAGGGTTCATACGGTTGCTAGGGTATATAGGGTTTATAGGGTATATAGGGTTTATAGGGTTATAGGGTTTTTAGGGTTAGTAGGGTTTATAGGGTTCATAGGGTTTCGGGTTGAGGGTTCAGGGTTTGGGGCCTGGGCTGCTGAGTTTCGTGATCGTGGCGACAGGGGCTCTTGGCTTGGCTTCTTGCAGAACCCTGAAGACCCCAAGCCCCCCGAACTCTCGCGAAAGGTTGCACACAACGAAGGACTCCCTGGACTGTAAGGTTGAGGCTTAGGACTTAGGCTTAGGAATTTCGGCCTTAGAGTTTAGATGGCTTAAGACTTAGGCTTTTGTGTTCGGGGTTGAGGACCTATAGGTTTGGGTTAGGATTTCAGGCTTTGGGTAAGGGTCTAGAGCTCAGGGTATGGGGCTTAGCGCAGGCTCTTCCTTGACGGAGGCCAGTGGGATCACGTCATCCTGGCATAGATCGAGGCCCCATTCTGAACTGAACCATGACCCACAGGCAAAAACATCCCAACATCGAAACATTAGGGCCTATCATGTCCAGGAAATCAGGGGTCAAGGGGTTTTAGGGCTTGGGGGCTTTCGGGGTACCGGGCTTGGATGTTTAGGGCAAGGAGTTTTGGATTAGGAGTCAGGGCCGTCGAGGCTTCGGGAACTGAGGTCCATGAAACACGGACTGAAACTTTAGGAACTGGAGCGTAGGATTTGAGGCTCGGAGCATGATGTTTTCGTCAACCAGCGAATGAACACAGTTCCAAGCTGGGGATGCTTTCCTGCGCGCTCAGCGTTCGAAGACGCTCTGTTTATCGGCTGCCTTCGGTATCGAGGGGCCTGTTTCACATTTATGCGGAAACCGGGCGTTCGCTAGTGGATGTTGGCGGTGGGAGTCTGCTGGGCCACAATCCTGTGCAAGCCTGCCACATTTCGATCAAGGCGGGTGAAGTGTAGCATGCTCAGATAGCCTTGCACGCCAAGCCCCTGACTTCACAATCGTCTGGCTTTGTATAATGGTATGTCCGTGCGCCGTTCTCCCAGCCTCAACCTGTTTGCCTCATTCAGAAGCCCACTGGATGCGCACAAACATCCTAGACCCGTATCCTGAAGCTCCAACCTCACGAACCTCTGATTTAGGGGTCGGAATACATGCTAATCGTTTTCCCTTACGGCCCCCTTAGAATTATACTATCATGACTCCCGGAACCCTGTTCGAAGTATGAAGGCCCCGGCATTAGCCCTAAACCCCTGTAGCCACAAAACGACCAAGTGGACCTAAAGCCTCGGTTCTCCCTGAACATCCCACACCCTAAACTCGAACTTTGCACCTAGAGCTTAAGGCATAGGGGAGTTTACGAAAATAAGGTACCCCTAAAATACAACAAGTTCCGAAACCCCCATATAGGGTTTCAGGGTCTTTCCCCTCAACTCCTAAACCCCACACACCCACAGCCTTGGCGAGGTTGAGCTTGTTCTTCAGGTCCGTGATCATGTCGCCGACCTGCAATCGATGCTTGAGGTTGCGGCCTCGACTCATTGAGGGTCTGCTGGGGTTGGGGGAGTGTGTTGGGTTTATCCTAGGGCCTTGTGGGTTTGGGGTTGAAGGTTTCGGTACCCCAGCCGCCAACTGCACACAAAAAGGCCGCGGCCGCGGCCCAGCTCAAATATCAGGCTCCTCCTTGCAACTCCTTCCCTTTAAGGTTCAGACCACAACTTTCCCCACCCTCCCCCCCCTATGCCCTGAAGAAGCAGGCGATAGTTAGGGCTTTACCGGTTTAGGGTTTAGGGCGATTTTGGCTCGGGCCTCTAGGGCTTCATGGGTTCAGGTGTTTAGGCCGCGCAGGACACTCAAAAGCCACCTGATCTGGTTCCATCAGAGGCGTCTCAGAGTCCACGTTCCTGGCATCGGCTTTTTCCTCTCGATTGACGGGGGGGGGAGCGGGGGGGGGGGGGGGGGGGGGCGGGGGGGGGGGGGGGGGGGGGGGGGGGTTGAGGGCTTCAGGATCTTAGGGGTTTTAGGGGTTTTGGTTGGGGTTTTTCAAGGCCTGGGTCTAAGCTTCGGGCTGTCTGAATGGTCTCCAACTCTCGAAACCATAAATCGAAACCATGAAACCCCAAAGCCCCAATCTGCTCTTCATGCCATACCTTGGCTCAGGCTGCGCAAGATGGTGCTTGGATGCAGGGTACCCCATGACCCTGAATCCTTATGCCCCGAAGTTTAGGGATTTAGGGCTAAAGGTCTCTAGAACAGGCACGCAATCCAACGCAAGGTTCCAGCCTAGAGCCTGGCGCAGTACAAACAGGCCGGGAAGGCGCATAGACTTCTGTGAGAGACCTGCAAGGGGTTTCGGTGTTGGGGTTTAGGGTTTAGGGCTCAAGGTTAAGCAGGATCTCTGTCTGTATCTAAACCCCAGACTTCGAACAGCAAGACGCATAAACATCCTCATGGCATGGAGTGACTCTAGCTGACGCGCTCTCGAACCCTCGCCACTGCTGTCTCCACAGGTCCTCCGTCTGAACTGATGGTGGTCAGCTCTCTAATATAGGGTCTTTGATAAGAAGAATAGGGTTTTGTTTGGGATCATTCTAGTATCAGTACAAGGGGACCATACGGGAATACTCTTAGTATTCATTCCGACCCCTATAGTAGATGAGGGATGGCCCGGGCCAAGCATTGCATGCGGTGCGCCCAGGTCGGCCATCGCGCAGGTTTTTACATTCGCCCAAACGAAAATCGAAACCTTTCTCAAAGATGAATCTCCACACCTGAAAACAATGACGACGTGCCTGACACTTTACAGACCGGATGAAACCCGACCCTACACTCTAAACCGGCTAACCGTAACCCCCCGCCCCAAGCCCTGAGTCACAAATCCCAAGCCCCAGAGGCCTCAAACCTGAAACACGCCCAAGTCCTATGCAATGAAGCCTACAAAGCCCTCTGTAACGCCTGTCGATGGTGACCCACGGCGATTCGGAGAGCCGCTGCACAGTGAAGACAAGCTCCTTGCCCTTCGGCTTTATAGGTTTGGGGGATTGCCCGAGTTTATGCCCTGAGGAGCTTGATTCCCCCTCCTACTGAAACCCTAAACCCAAACGGGAGTCTAAGCCACATTGCATGGTATGGACGATGCGACAAGGTTTTGCCATGCGCTGCATTTGAGGGCGGTGACGCAAAAGCCTTATGAATCGATCATAGCTCAGAAGTATTTTTTCTAATCCCTACGTAACCCATATGTGTTGAAGAAAGTTATCAACTGCCCCAAAGACCGATTCTGATTTACTACGCCCCTACAGTACGTGCTCACGACGCAGCTGTTGCCGCACCTCCTGCTTGGCTTTCTTCACATCATTGACGACCTGCTCCTCATCCTCACCGGGAGACATTCCACATGCCGTCACACAAGAAGCAATAGGGAATGCAAGGGGCATGGAGCTTGCTGGCTCTGCTGCAGGTCGTTCGATGTCCTAGCCAAACCGTCAACCCGTGATCCTCTCGAAAGCATGAAGGTGCAACAAGCGGCGCGCATACGCCATTGAACTTCCGAGACCCTTTCAGCTGAACCGCAAGCCCTAGAATCTACGAATGGCCGGATCTCCTTGGCTTCTTGGCCATTGATCTCCTTGATGGTATCGCCTGGACTTCGGGGGTTACTGAGAGCACCAAGGGTTGCGAAGTTGCACTCTTTTCGGAGGGACTCTTCTGGGGCTTTAGGAGCTTTGTGGCAGTTGGGCTCCATTGGCCTGCATTCCATCCCAGCTTTCGCGAGTTCACGTTCGTGATGGTGCGGTCCTGCAAAAATTGGGTTTAGGATTTAGGGTTTAGGGTTTAGGGTTTAGGGTTAGGGTTTAGGGTTTAGGGTTTAGGGTCTAGGGTCTAGGGTCTAGGGTCTAGGGTCTAGGGTCTAGGGTCTAGGGTCTAGGGTCTAGGGTCTAGGGTCTAGGGTCTAGGGTTTAGGGTTTAGGGTTTAGGGTTTAGGGTTTAGGGTTTAGGGTTTAGGGTCGAGTGCGCAGGGCTAAGGGGTTGAATTGTATGGGTGTGAACCTAACAGGAAGATGCCGTGGAGCACCGGTTGAGCTCAACCCAAAACCGAGGAATTGTTGAAGGAGACTAACACTCGAACATTACGAGCTTCATAACCCGAAATCCAAACCCCAACGTCGACTCTCTCATGCGATCCTCGATGTCCACGCCTACATTCTGGCCCGGCGGCACCGTAATGGTCAACGTCGAGTACATCACGTTGCTGAAGAACTGTGCTCAACGGGGCACATCCAGGACCCGAAGCCCTAAACCCTAAACCCTCTCAATACTCGGTTTTCGTTGGAAGGGGGGCACTTGAGCTCTAGCACCCAGTGCCCATGACTGGCCCACAAGCGTGAGACTGGGGCTTGCGGCCGTTTAGAGTTGGGATTTTGAGCGTCTTGTTCTACTTCTAATCTAATACTTCTACTTCCACTTCCACTTCTACTTCAACTTCTACTGATTCAACTCCTTCTGAAAGAAAACCGTGCATGAGGGGCTGCCATCTCCACCCAAAGCACCCTTTGAAGCCCTATGTGCATACACTACAGTACGAACCCTAAACCCCCCAAAAGCCACCGTACACCCTCAACCGTCAGGCCTGGAGAGCCTCCTTGGCCCCCTCCGGGCCCTGAGCAACGAGCGTGGACCACTTGTCCTCACAGTGCCACGGCATTCAGGTCCCAACTGGGGGGGGGGGGGGGGGTGGGGTGGGGTTTAAGTGGGAAGCGTGGGAGCGTGCTCAGGTGTTCTGACTTAGGCTTCTGGCAGCTTGGTCTCGGGACTCTTGGGATCGTAAGAGTTGCCAGGGTGCGCAGTGTGCCTGGGGGTTTAGGGGCGGGGGCGGGGGGGGTCAGGGCTTAGGGTCAGTTTCGGACTTATGGGGTCTCCGGAAAATATTCTCAACCGCCCTAGAAGACAAAGTTCAGGATTTACGGAGTTTACGGCCCGCCCCATTGCGCCTGCAGCTTCCTCACCTGGGTGGCGGCGATGACGATGTTGTCGTGTTCCTTCTTCTTACTCGTGCTTTCTGGGGGAATGAGAGGCGGGAAGGGGAGGGTATCAATAAGGAACCATTCTATATCGAGATCCGACTCCCCCCTGAAGCACGGGTTGAGGCTTGCGCAGCTTTCCCCTGAAACCCCGAAGAGTCAAGCCACAGTGTCCTTCCCTGACGCGACGGCCCTCGCAGGGGCTCCCGGAAGAAGGCCGATGGTCGCGCCCACCTGCGGGGGCACACGACTTTCAGTTCACCAGCCGCTCAGGAAGCTTTCTGTTATCGGAGGACTTGCGGAGGGCCACAACTGTAAGAATTGGAAAAAATCTGAGCTTGGCATTGAGATGCTGAGGACTTCAAAGACCGCCTCCCACTCCTACCATTATAGCGCTTAATCCCTGAAGCCCCTACGGCTTGAGAAGGCTTCCCTTCCAGAATTCTAGGACAACCCCCTACCAAGAAGGACAACAAAGTAAAAGAAGGAACAACCTGTATGGGGATCCTGATGCTTTAGTATGGCACCCCTGTTTGATGCAAAAGGGAGGGGGGGGTTCTGGGTTGGAAGACCAGGAGCCCAAAAGCAAAAAAGGGACCTTGACGTTGAACACCCGTGTGTTGGTTGGTCCACATGTCTCGGATTTCGGGCCTCTGAAACAGTTTGGCTTCCGGCTGTGCAGCGGCACTCAAGCCCTCACTTGGCTCTTACGCAGCCGGGCCCCGCCTCCCCCACCCTTTTTGTTTCCTCCAACCCCGACTCTGATACCAAACAAGAAGCCACCAACCCATGAGACCCGGGGCTTTTTCTCTCTGTGGCTTGCAACGAGTTTGTGGCACTGCAGGTGCTGCAGTGCCAACGCTAGCGGCTGGCGTGGTCCGAGGATCCGAGCACAACCCGTAGGTCCACTGTGGAGTAGGCCCCGCTGGAAAACGGTGCGCCGAGACCCTCGCCAGCTGTCTGGCGCAGGACGCGCAAGGGGAAGCCGTCGCCGGGGTGGTACATCTCCAGGGCAGTGACCAGGTCGTCCATTCCTGCGAAGATGGGATTTCTGAGCGGAGGTTGGTCTCCAAATCCTGAGAGAACCCTACGGTTTGCAGAGCCCCCTATTAAGACCTCGCACAGTTTAGAGTTTAGGGTTTAGGGTTTAGGCGCGCGAGGCATCCACAGAGCAAACCAAGTGTCGGCGGATGGGCACGTCCCCCTGGAAGATGATGATGTCGCCGGCCTTGAGGCCGGCTTTCCGAGCTGCCCCTGGCAGCACCTCCTCAAAGGGGTTTAGGGTTTAGGGCTTAGGGCTAAGGGTTTAGGGGTTTAGGGGTTTAGGGGTTTAGGGGTTTAGGGGTTTAGGGGTTTAGGGGTTTAGGGTTTCGGGTTTCGGGTTTCGGGTTTAGGGTTTGCTTGTATGATTCTAGGGCTCCATATCAAAAAGGGCACCCCTCAACTCGGAAAGCCCTAAACCTGCAAAACCTTGGATCCCCTGTTTAAAACCTCCAGAATCAAAACCCCTGCAAGCCCCTAAACCCTCCAAACATGAACCCCTGCAAACTCCCATAAGCTCCTATAAACCCCTGGATTCGTCCTCGACCACCACGCCATGAGCCCCCAGACGCTCAGCAAACCCATCCGGCTCCAGATAGATGCCCAGCGCCGGGCGGCTCACGTGGCCGTTGTCCTCGATTTCGTGACACAGGGGTTCGAGGAGTTAGGGCCGGTTCGGGTTCAGGGACCCAAAGTGAAGGACTCGGGGTGAGGTAAAAGTTTCGAGCTTGGGCCCTTGTGATGAGTTGGGGGGAAAGCAAGTAGAACTCACAACCAAATCGGGGCTGTGTCGCCACCTCGCTACAGCTCTCAAAACCCTAAGCGCCCTCAACCCTAAACCCCTGCCCCCTAGACCCCTGCCCCCCTAAACCCTAAACCCCTGCTCCCTAAACCCTAAACCCTAAACCCTAAACCCTAAACCCTTCTATACACGGCCCATTAAATGCTCCCAAGGTGTCGAGGATGCTTTGGACATACTTCCGCAAGCTGTCGGCAGGTATGGCCTGGCTGATGCGGGACCCCTCCATCGGCCCCACGGCCTGGGCGCCGGCTTCTTCTTTCTTTGGGTTTAGGGTTTAGGGTTTAGGGTTTAGGGTTTAGGGTTTAGGGTTTAGGGTTTAGGGTTTAGGGTTTAGGGTTTAGGGTTTAGGGTTTAGGGTTTAGGGTTTAGGGTTTAGGGTTTAGGGTTTAGGGTTTAGGGTTAGGTTTAGGGTTTAGGGTTTAGGGTTTAGGGTTTAGGGTTTAGGGTTTAGGGTTTAGGGTTTAGGGTTTAGGGTTTAGGGTTTAGGGTTTAGGGTTTAGGGTTTAGGGTTTAGGGTTTAGGGTATCTTGGGACTTTCGGAAGTTTAGGTGCTCTTGGGCACTTTATAGGGTCTAGCTTAGGGCCTTGGGGTTTGGCAAGTCTAGGTCTTGGGTGTTTTGGGTGCTGGAGAAGCTGAGAAGCTGAGGGGGTGTCATGGTTTTGGGGTTCGGGGCTTCAAGCCCTCGTAGCCTAACGCCCCTCACAACCCAGACTACCACAACTGCCGCCCCAATGGCCATTCCAACCACCTGGCCACGGCTGTTCAGCAGTGGCCCACCACGGTTGGAGGGCTGGACCACCGCGTCCGTCTGAATGCTGCTCTGAACCTGGGCTTCGGAACTATTAGGGCATTGAGCTTCGGGACTGATTATGAGTAGACGATCCACGAGGCAGGGCTTGGGATTCGAAGGCTTGCAAGAGGGTTTATGGCCCTTGAGGCCGAAGCCCTGAACCATAAGCCCAGGGCATTCAGGATTTCAGGCCGAAGTAGGGATGTCAGTCGGGGGTTGAGGTTGGGGTTCTGATGTGCGGGGGTTGCAGGGCTCAGGTTGAACTTGGATTTGGGGCCGAAGGGTTGAAGCCCCAAGAAACCCTAAACCCTAAACCTTAAACCCTAAACCCTAAACCCTAAACCCTAAACCCTAAACCCTAAACCCTAACACAAGGAACCGCAGCCAAAGGAGCTGGGCGGTCCGAGTTGAGGACCAGGGGCTGGCCGAGCCCGTAGACGACCCCCCTGGAGACGCTCATGTCCAGGGCCGCCCGGCGGCCAACCACTGACACGTCCTCCCACAAAAGGCTTAGGGTTTAGGATTTAGGGTTTAGGGTTAGGGTTGAGGGTTGAGGGTTGAGGGTTGAGGGTTTAGGGTTTAGGGTTTAGGTTTACGGTCGAGGGGGGTAGGTTTCAGGTGAACATGCGCCTATACCAAGCAGTAAGCCCATGCCCTGCAGGCCTTCTGATTCGCAACCCTCGACCCGAAAGCCCTCAAGACCCGAAGGCCCGAAGCCAAACCCCTGCAAGAAATCAGTCCCAAACCTTCAAAGCTGGATATCGAGACGAGAAACCTATAAATCGGGTACTCGTCATCGTTCCAACATGCGCCCACAAACCCTTAATGCCAAACCCTAAGCCAAAAATTGGGATCGTCTACCCCATCCTCACCCCTCAACCCAAAACCCGCAACCCCTACATGCTAACCCCTCTAAACTCCAAACCAAACCCTAACCCTAAACCCTAAGCCCTGAACCCTGAACCCTACACCCTAAGCCCTAAACCCCAAACCCCCAAACCCTAAACCCTAAACCCTAAACCCTAAACCCGAACCCTAAACCCTAAACCCTAAACCCCAAATTTGGGTTCACTTGTCACCAAGGTCCTGTCCCAACTGGAGGCTGGCAGAGGCACCCAGGGGTAGCCCCTGCGGCCTTGGGGTTCTGGCCTGAGCAACTCATGTGGGGTTTAGGGTATAGGGTTTGGGGTTTAGGGTTTGGGGTTTAGGGGTTTGGGGTTTAGGGTTTGGGGTTTAGGGTTTAGGGTGTAGGGTTTGGGGTTGTAGGGTTTGGGGTTTAGGGTTAGGGTTTAGGGTTTAGGGTCTGGGGTTTACGGTTTGGGATTTTGGTGTTTGGGGTCAAGGGTTTGGAGGTTGGAGGACTTTTGGGTGTAGGGTTTAGGGTTGAGGGGTTCGGGTGATCAGGAGGTTCAGTGGGAGCCCTCAACGCAACAACGGCAAAAACCCCGCATAGCCGCTAAACCCTCCAACCTCCTAAACCTTAAAACCTCCTGTAGCTCAACTCTTTCTTCTTCTCTTTTCTTTTTTTTGGGTGGGGCAGCGGGGGGGGGGGGATGAAGAAGAAATGCTATGCAGGGCTGGGAACTGCCTGAGCGGGGAATTTCCTCAAGATCTTTTTGGTCTTCTTGATAACTCAAATTCGGATGGAATCGGCCTTCACCTGATACCCCCAAAGGGACACGCGACTCGCAAACACCCGTAGGGTTTAGCAATCGGGCCCGTGCAGAAAAAAGCGTGCTTGGGTCCCTGAGCTTTGTTGGAAGATCGGTGGTTGCAGGGTCAGGTGAGGCTTTGGGTCTCTAGGCTATGCAGTACGAGATGTAGGGTCATGGGGTTCAATCAAGTTTTGTGGCTTTGGGCATCGGGCACACATGGCCTTGTGTGGCGAGCTTTTGCAAGCGAGGTGCAAAAACTGCGGAATAACATCGTGTCAAAGTCTACAAACTGTAAGTTTCAAGATCGAAAGCGGACTAAACGTGAGCCCGTTGCGAAAGCGGCATGTGCCCGCAGCCCTTGTTGGCAGGGTTTAGTTAGGGTTTCGGAAACCCTAAACCCTAAACCCTAAACCCCAAGAAGCCCAGATCTTCAACCTGGGAACATCTGCAGAGCGCTTGGGCCACAGAATCTCCAACACCGCCAAATCGCTGCCCGGGTCCTGTGACATCGATCAAGGCGATCAAGGCATTTGTAGGGTTGAGAAGGTTTGTAGGGTTTATAAGGTTCAGGGTTTGTAGGATATGTAGGGCTTATAGGGCTTTAGGGTTCACAGGGTTTAGGGTCTGTAGGGTTTCGCTTGAAAGTGCTGCTACAAAGAACTGGAGGATGCCCAGTTAGGGTCAGCATCTCGTCCCCATGAGCTTCTTAACGCGCATTGGAGCCCAGCTTGGCTCTGTCTTCACTGGGCTTCAGGCTCCAGATTTTGGGGGTTTACGAAAGTAGGGGACCCCTAAAGTAGAGCCCCCAAATAGTAGGATTCTGCAAGTTTTGTTAGAATATGGACCCCAGTGAGGTACCCCTAATTTCAGGACTTGAGGATGGTCGTGTCACGTTGCGAGATGCTTGGTTCCGCGCCCTTACGCCAGCCTGATCTCCACGGATCAAAGCATTCGTAGGGCATGGAAGAGTGATGAAGAGTATGGAGAAGTATGAAGTACATACATACACACACATCCGAAACTCCTAAACCCTAAGCCCTAAACCCTAAACCCTAAGCCCCCTAACCCTAGACCGGTAAACGGTCCGTGCCAACGACCCGCGCGGGCATCTCGGAGCGGTCGGCCAAGATCACGCGCAGGGAGCCCCGCTGGGCCAGGTCGATGTTGCTGAGGCTCGTGACCACGTGGCTGCCATCGAACCTTGCGTCCGGCGTAGGGCTTATAGGGTGTAAATGGGTGTACATTTAGGGTTTCAAAGTTTAGGGTTTCAAAGTTTAGGGTTTAAAAGTTTAGGGTTTAGGGTTTAGGGTTTAGGGTTTAGGGTTTAGGGTTTAGGGCTCTAGAAAGGTGCATTGAGGCGACTGCAAGCTGGCTGGGTTGCGGACATTGTGGGGACTCTAAACCCCTACGCGGAGGAAATTCATAAGCCCAGAACGGACAAAAGGACACATCACGCAGAAGGGGCCTCGGGCCCTATAAGGCTTGAGAGCCTAGGGGGCTTAGAGCCTGGGTTTGGGGGATGCGGATTTAGGGTCTACGCCGAGAAGGTCCAAGCAGCATCCAGGCCGAACCGCCTGGACCAGGCGGCTCACCCTCTGGCCCTTCCGTAGGCATCCAGGGAGCCGGCTTACCCGTGACGTAGACGATGCTGGGTGAGGCATCGGCGAGCATCTGTAGACGGGCCTCCTGGCAGTGAACACTGAACCCGAAACCCTAAACCCTATAATTCTTCGAAACTACCAATCCAGCACCCAGAAGCCTCAAGCACCCTTTAAGCCTTCAAGCACTAAGCCACAAAGCCCCCGAAAAGGGCACGAAGGACTGCTGGGCGCTTTGCTTCGGGCAGAATCGGGCAGAATCGGAGAGGGGGCCTTTACATAGATAGGTTGACGATCCGCAATCGTCATCGGCACGCCTTTCATGCCAGAAGCAAGTAAGTTACTAAACTATCTAAATCGAACAGAAACGAACCAACAACAACCCCGAGACCCCAAAACCCCAAAACCCCAACGAAACCGCAACGAAACCCCAACAAAACCCCAACAAAACCCCCAACAAAACCCCAACAAGACCCCCTACAAAACCCCCAACAAAACCCCAAACCTGGAGCATCGGTCCTCGTCCGGGAGCAGCTGCAGGGTGGGTGCTGGGGTCACCTGAGGCGTCGACGGCTGCACCGGCGGGCGCCCCGGGCGCAGGAGCGTGCAGAGCAGCAGCAGCGCCAGCGCGGCAGATGCAAGTTTCCTCATATACCAACCCGATATTTATATATATATATATATATAGCTCACCCCCCCCCCCCCCGGGTGGCATCCGAGTCCTAGCCATTGGGGGGGGGGGGGGGTGACCATATATATATATATACACACATATATATATATATATATATACTTATTTACTTCTTGTTTACATATTTATATGGATCTCTACAGTCTCTACATTGACTCTACATTTGTTGTATCCATTCATTTCCTTATTTAAAACATCAAGTGAGGGTTGGGAGTTGCATTGGGGTTAAGGTCTTCAGGATATTTTCACCATTTCGCAATTTAAAAAAAAAAAAAAAACAAACTCTTTGCAAGAAGGTGAGTAAAGGGTCCGGTTGGGCTGCTTCACCCGCTTGAACTTCTCCAGGGCAACCGCCCGAGCCTTCTGTAATCGTCCGGGGAGGTCTGCCCGTTTGCTGGCCTCCTGCACCTTCTTCAGCCCGACTCGTCCATGCCTCGGGTACCCCTTCGTCAGTTTTTGAGACCCCTCCATCTATAAGCTCCTTTCATGGCCTACATGGCTAGGGGGCCCAGGGCCTGGGGGCTCGTAACAAAGTCATTGAGCAGGGCCTCATGAATTTCGGGGTTCACAAGAAAACCACACAAGAAAAGCAAACGATTGCTCGCGAACGTTCGCGAAGGTGCTCTCGCACCTGCTTCCAGCGCTTCCGCGCCACCTTCAACCCTAAAGAGCTTTTGTCTTGCAGCCAGTGCCAGGCTCTATCCAGCCGCGAGTCCAAGCCATCCTCCCGTCCTGGACTAAGGATGTGTGCCAGCTTTGGGGAAGAAGCTGCTTCATCAGGGTCTTATAATTCTGTTAATATTTCTTAGTGTTTTTAATAATATTAATATTACTAGTATTCTTACCGTCATAAGATTTGGGCTTGGAGGGCCTGGGTACGACTCAGTAAACCGCATATCGTTCCCTGCCTGAGGGCGTTCGGCTCGCCTCAAGGATGTGAGTGGTGCCCGGGGAGCTCGGAGCGGTTTCCCCGCGGTCTCCCGCTGTGCCTCCCTTCGCCAGCCGCGGCAGCCGCGAGAGGAACTGGGGAACTAGCCGAGCCTTTGGCTTTGAGATTTGAGGGCTTGTGGTCACAGTGGCCTGCTGGGAGGGGAATTTCAAGGCAAAACCCATCTATCTAGCTTAACCATAAACTTCACCACCCGAAATTAAGGTGCGGAGGCCTTCGGGTGGGAGCAGTGAGCCGCCGCCACGGCGCCCGCCACCACAGAGGTGATGGCCGGCACGGCACTTGAGGCTCGGGCGGCCTCCGGGCTGCGCAGCAGGGGCGCCTGGCCCTTCCGCGATCGGACCTTTTGAGCTTCTGAGGCATCTTGTGTGTGTGGTCTTCAAACTATACATGCCTTCGTACATGCATATTCATATTGTATATATATATATACACAGATACAGCTCTAGCCTTATGCTTTGTTTTCACTTCACGTTCGTCATTACGTTTCAATGTAACTGTTACCTTGATTAGAGTGTGCTTAGCCTTGCTTGTTTTCTGCTGACATTAGTCTCTCGCCTTCTGTATTTCTGTTGGGTCGTCGCTTGGCCAACGTTACACTTTCACGCAACAGCGCCAACAGCACTGCTCTGCACCTTGCTCGCATGTGCCGCCTCTCCATCACTAAACCCTACGCTGCGTGGGCTGGGCTCGCGTGAGGCTAGAGTTCTTCGAGCCCCCTGCCTGCACACATCGAGACCCTCCATGCCGAATGACCTCAGACCACCTTGGGGCTGGGAACTCCTGGACTTCCGCATCCACTACTTTCTTTGTGGTCACAGTTTTTGCCCCGGCGGTTTCCCTCCTCCCCCCCCCCCCAGGCTGAGTGTTCCTGTCTATTTCTAGCTACAAGGAGATTACACTACCCTTCTCAGCAAGCACTACCAATCACCAGCTCCCCCTCTCTCCAGAATTAATCTATATATATATATGTATATATATATATATATATATGATATATGTATGTATACTAATCCTTATAAGTATATATATATATATATGTATGTATGTATGTATGTACGTATGTATAGTTGTTGCTATTCTCTGCTCCCATGTTCCGTCTTCTCGGGTAGCTGGAGGTCAAAAGGGCTGAGAGGACTGATAGTGGTTTTGCTTCATCAGCTTCGGAAGGTGCTAGGCGCAAGGGTTGCAGGCTGATTCCAGTACCAAGAAGGTTCAGGGTTTAGGTTCGGAATTCGGTCTAGGGTTTAGGGTTTAGACTTTAGAACTTTAGGGTTTAAGGTTTAGGGTTTAGGGCTTTGCTGCCGCCAGGTGGCAGCCTCATTGGCTTCCAGCGCAAGCGGCTTCGATACCGCGAAGGCGAGCGGATGCGACATGGAAGACGGGAAGGCTGGCAGGCAGCTAAGCCACCTTCGGTGCAATGGCTACACGCCAGCCTAGATGCTGCTGCGAGACACCGGATGGCGATGCTGACTGCTGAACATCGCTGCTCCGAACTCCACATCCTGCTGATCAAAAACACCTGGCTTTGCTGGAGGCCCTTAAAACGCTGCAACTCCTGTAAACTGCACGCCCTATAAGCTCCACAAACCCTATAAGCCTTATAAACCCTACACCTGCGAAACCTTTTTGCCACAGGCATCTGCACAAGAGCCATCACAGCGCGGAGTCTTGCAACCGCAGCAAGGTGCGTAAGCCTCTCACGCTGGTCGAGGCCCACCTGCTTCAAGGTACGGAAGCCCTAAAGCCGAAACCCCGACCCTGAAACCCAAACCCTAAATGCCCAACACTAAACCCTAAACCCTAAACCCTAAGCCCTAAACCCTAAACCCTAAACCCCAGTACATCCCAATCCGGAGCCTCAGCGACCCTGGCCTCGCCGCGCCACCGCGGCGCTGAGCCGGGACATGGCTTCTTCCAGGAGGCACCTTCCAGGGCTTCTGGAGTTTCATGTAGGGTTTAGGGTTTAGGGTTTAGGGTTTAGGGTTTGGGGTTTGGGGTTTGGGGTTTGGGGTTTGGGGTTTCGGGTTTTGGTTTTGGGTTGTTTGGGGTTTCGGGTTTAGGGTTTTGGGTTTGAGGTTTAGGGCTTGGGGTTTGGGGTTTGGGGTTTAGGGCTTAGGCGCTTATAGGAGCTTTTCGGGCAGGTTTTTAGGCCCCCGTGGCCTGCTGCAAGCGAGGTTCATCCTCGAGCAGAGCATCTCGGGATTCTGTGACCCGAGCTTCGTCCCTTACCATTATGTAAATTCAGAAACCTATAATGTTAATATATATATATATATACATACTGCTCATATTCGTATCCTATTGAGGGATTTCGGGTTGGGGAGGGGAAACGCGTGCCGACCTGTGGGTCCCGCAGCGCTGAACGACTCTAGGAGCCTTATTCATCAGAACAGGGTTGAGGGCGTTATATATAGTAAATATATAAAGGGCCACAAGGGCATGCTACTAGTACTCAGTCCGCCCCTTTCTTAGGTATCCGGCGGAATTTGCTGTGTTACCCGGGCTTCCGGCATGGGGCCTGGGCCGATCCCTCCACTTCCTGGCATCCACGCCCTTGTGCCCTTTGAAACATGAGGTGCGTACATGCACTATCAAAAGCTGGATGGGTTTAGGGTTTACGGTTTAGGATTTAGGGTTTATCGAAGATATGTTGAGGCGGGCTCGGGTCCTAGGCTCAGTGGATGGTCAGGTTTCAGGGTTTCAGCTTTGGGTTTAGGGCTTAAGTTTAGGGTTTAGGATTTGAGGCTTTGGGTCTTGGGAGTTTAGGGCTTGGGGTCTAGGGCCCCCCGGGCCCACTGGCCATCAAAGCCAGGCATCCGTTGGAAGTGCCAGGACTTCTCGGCGTCAAACTCGCTTCCAGGGGAGAGAACCAGTCTGGCCTTTCGAGGTATCAGTTGCTCTCGATGCAACCTTTAAAACATGTGAGGTCAAAGGAACAAGTGATCAGAGAACATATGTGGAATGCTGTCTCTTTTTTTAACTAATGCTCGTAGAGACTAAAGCTTAGCTTCGCCTGATTTCTGATGTTAAAGGCGTGTACACAGGTTGCAGGAAAGCCGTGGAAAGAGTCCCACAACAGCCGCGTTTATGATGAATTCCGTGGGGAGACTGCTCCCACACACTGCAATGCGTCTTCGTTGCATGCTTGGGTGATGCAATGCTCATTCACTAACTCGCGCAGACAACTGCGTTCCTTCCTCGTGGCCTCTATCAGTGGGGCAATTCTTCTTCATCGTTCAACCCTACAGGGTCTCTGAGTCACGAGTCCGTGCGAGGGGTTGCTTCATATTTCTGGTTGCTGTGTCTGGTGTAAAGTTTGTGCCACGCATTCTCTTGAGTCGGTCGGTTCATACTGAGACATTTGGGGCGTGCAAGCTGGATGTACAAACCGGGTGGTTGGCAATCGGTGCAGACTACCATAGCAGATGTAACAAACGATGATACCCATGCATGTGTTGACGCCTTTGAAAGGTCTTGAACGCACGCCAGCCTCGTGGAGGATGAAATTGTTCAAATCCTTGCCGGAATCGAAACCTCGGATTTGTTACCCATCCTTCTGAGCGTTGAAAAACCCGACAGATGATCGTCAATAACGAGCATTTAGATATTGGTGGGGAATTCTCACAAAACCTCCCGCGCAAGTTCGATACCAACTAGCCATGAGTACACCTCTGCGAAGGCATCCCCTTAAGAGACATCAGGGGATTTGCTCCCAACTTCCTTACTCCTTCAAAGACCTGCTTCCGACCCCGAAGGCTTCGGGGCTGAAGAGACCTCCGAGCCACCCAGGCCGGAGCAGTCAAGCCAGGCAAGGTAGGTGGCCTCGGACCATCAACCCTCAAGCCTCGAAGGCTTGCATAGGGTTATGGGGTTGGGATGTTCCCCCGTAAATTAACCCGTCCTTGATAGGGATTATAGTGGGGAGCACTCTGATCCCTAGGACTGTTGGTATACGGGGGAACATGCCAAAAGTTACGGGGTTAAGGTCGGGGTTTCAAACATCGATCCAGAGCCCTGCTAAACCCCGCCGTGAATCCCCCAGGTTGAGAGCCCTACTGCAGGTTGGTTGACGGGAAGGCTTTGGGGCTTTGCCTTTGGGAGCGGGGAGGGCGGAGTTCAGATTCGGGAAACCACCAAGAAGCCTTCCACACAAAGTTCCCCTACTAGTAAGGGCCAGGCCTGGTGTGGCACCTGGGGCGGGCTTCGGAGGCTAAAGGTTTTTAAGGGGCCGAGGGCTCAAGAACTCTTCGGGTTCAGGGTCTCAGAACTAGGATGGCCCCCTAAATATGATCCTGTTAAACCCAACAAGGGAAAATGTAACATGTCCCAAGGGCCTACCTAGAGGAACGGTCAGGGAGGGTACTCCTGTCTGCTTCATAGGTGCCAGGGTGGGGGGGCAGGCGAGGCAAAGGTGCGTTTTTCAAGCTACGCTTTCGTGTTCCAAAGAAACCTCCCACAGAATTTCCGAAGCACGGGGAGGAGGTTGCCTGGCAATGATCTCAAAAAGCCCGTGTCTAAACCCCTCAGCTGGAAACGGGAGCAGGGCTGGAGTGGAATGATTAGGGACCCAGATCAACAACTTTCATCGCTAAGCGGCGTGAGCCTGCACACCAACCTCACCCTGTGAACTACCTCAAGCCCTATAAACACTATTACACTTTGGGCATCTGAAAACCCTAAACCCTAAATCCCTGACAAGCCAGAAGCCTTAAACCCCAAACCTGCAATCACAGAGGCCCCTGTATAATCCTTAACCCCCCCCCCCCAAAAATACCCCCCCCCCCCCTCTCCCCAAATCCCGAAGACGCAAGAATCATCAAATCCCTGAACCCCCAACCCTAAACCCTCAACCCTCAACCCTAAACCCTCAACCCTCAACCCTCAACCCTAAACCCTAAACCCTAAAAGTGTCTCAAATAACCCCACCACCATCCTGCGACGGAGCGCCAGGCGCACGCCCGGGACGTGTGCGAGGAGGAAGTGCTCCAGGAAGACCAGGTTCGCCTAGGGTTTAGGGTTTAGGGTTTAGGGTTTAGGGTTTAGGGTCTAGGGTCTAGGGTTTAGGGTTTAGAGCTTAGGGTTTAGGGTTGAGGGTTTGGGGTTTGGGGTCTAGGGCTTAAGGTTTAGGGTTGAGGGTTTAGGGTTTAGGGTTTAAGGGGATTGGGGATGCGGGCTTCCTACATCTTTTAAGCAAGTCTGGGGCTTCGGGCTTAAGATCTCGAAGCTTCGGGCCAGCACTGGTTCGAGGTTCAGGAACTTTTTCTAGCCCATAGGGGCAACCCTCAGGACCCATAAATCCCGAAGCGCCTGGCCATAGCCCAAGCCACCTTGATGTAGGCCTTCGCAGCTTTGAACCAGGTGCCGCCAAGGTCATAGGCCACGAGCATCGCCTCCTGGGATAAAAAAACTATTTGCTCAAAAACCACCCAAAAATATATAGTAATCCCTAGATTGCCCTTACAAGGAAGAATATTGTTTCTTTTTTGCGGGGGTTCTTAAGCAAATAGAGGTAAAGCCTCAGGATGACGAGTGCAGGGCTGATGGCTTAAGGGCTCTCGAGGGCTCGGACCTCGAGTTCGTAAACCCTCTGAGTACTATGATCGCCCTGGCTCAAGAACCCAAAGCCTTGTTCTTCAAACCGGCCAGAGACCTTAGACACCCCTTCATCTCACAAAGCTGAGGACTGCGATGGCCTCAGAACTTCAGCAACTAAGGTTTGGGTTCAGGGCTCTTTGAACCTGATTCCATTCCGTGGTGCCCGTACCGATTTCAAGGCGCACCTGGGGGGAAAGGGCAAAGGCAACGAATGGTTAGAAGTTCAACCGAAACTTGACGCCGAGTGAGTTCGCACCCCTGCGAATAGCACAATCCTGAGGCGACATGAAACATGGTCCCGGGTCCCAACAGTGCGCCGACAGCTTGCAGTGAAAGCACTTCTTACAGGCCCACAAAGGATCTTGGGAGTGATGTTCTATGCGGCGAAAGTCTCCCCTCCTACTCCTCCTCAGAAGGTCCGCTCCCAGGGTCCCCCAAACCTGAAACCCGATCTTCTGAGCAGCCGTCGCAAAGACGCTCCCGAACGTCAAGAAGCTAGGCTCGGTGTAGTCCAGGTACCTGGAATTTTGGTTGTCCACTTAGCGCTGTGGCTTTTGAACCACAATGGCGTGCTCGAGGAACCCTGACCACCCGAAACCCTATGGTAGTTAGTCAGAGATCCCAGATGGGTCCTGCAAACTCGGATTCTTCAACCCCTCAATTGATTTGGGAGTTCGGTTGGAGTTTTGAGTTGGAGCAGCCCCGAACCCCATTCCAGCTTAAACAGTCTGCCCCTCCTGCTCGGAAACCCTGAGTTGGGGTGGGGGAGCATGGGATTGAGAGCCTTGCTGTTCAATTTCTACAAGCGTGAGCGCTGCCTCCTCCCGACTACGAGAGATTCAAGGCCGCGCGACTGCTTGCGCAAGTCGTCGTCGGCCACAATGACATAGGAGGCGTGCAGGCCCGCCACGGACCTGAGAGCCAAGGGTGCCCCTAAGATTTGGAGCTTCAAGAACCCGAAGAACCCTCAAGTCTGAACCCCTAGACCCTCAACCCTAAGCCCTTATAAAACCTAAACCCGGAACCCTAAACCCTAAACCCGAAACCCTAAACCATAAACCATAAACCCTAAACCCTGGCCAGGCCACCAGGTCTTCGCAGGTGCGCCAAGTGTGATGCACTTGCAACCCACCTCAAGGGCAAACAGTTCACTCAGAGGTCGCTGGCTTCCCTTGCGGCCTTTGCACCCGAAACCCTAAAGTTTAGGGTTTAAGGTTTAGGGGTTTAGGGTTTAGGGGTAGATGCTAAACCCCAAGCCCGGAGAGGGTGCTCCCATAAATCCTCCCGAAACATTGAGCTGAGTTGCTACAGTGCCTGGCTTTGGCTTCTCGCTCCAAGACAGAGGGGCAATTCCCGCATTTTTGGGGGGGAAAAGAAACGGTCCAAGGGAATGCCCCCCCCCCCCTCCCCGCCAATTTTGGAACATCCCAAGCAGTCCACGGGAGCCGGAGCCTGGACCCAAACCCGACATCAACCCTAAGAAGCAAGGCAGAAGCTCGTCAAAACGCTCCCCCCCCCCCCCCCCCCCCCGCCAAAAAAAAGAGGCAGAAGCTCGGTTAACGGTTGAACCCATGCGGGCCCCCAAGGTCAGGGTTGCTGATGAGGAACTTAGGGCTTCAGGCCTAGGCTTGGGACCAGAATGAACTTCATGTCAAAAGACGGCCCTTCGAGGCAACCGTTGGATTTGGGTGTTGAATGGGAAGGCAAGTCTAAATCAAGAGCTTGCAGGGCATTGAGGGTGTAGAGGACCCTGCTTAGGGCGGACATGTAAAACATAAGACTAGTGATAGCTTATGCTATTAAAATAAGAAGACTAATGTAAAAAGAAGAACTGAAACGAGAAGCCCTAAGCCCACCTCCTGTGCCACTGGCTGGAAAGGGACAAAGCTTTCGAAGCACCAGTCCGCCCAAACCTCGTCCGACATGACCTTAGGAGACCCTTAAGTGGGCTTGAGGGCTATACAAGTCTGAAGGTTCTTAAAGGGCTTCAGGGCCTGAGGGCTTCAGGGCCGGGATTTTTGGCCGTGCAACGTCAGTCGTTTAGATTCGGAGAGCTCAAAGCGAGTCCGGGGTAAGTCAGGTGCTCATAGTCCTGACTGTGGACCTGTAGTCGCTCACTTTTAAAGCCCATGTTCTAGCTGGTTCACAGGCTTACCAGTGGGAAACGCCGGTCTCCTTTCATTTCCTGAACCTGCATTGCTTGTAAATTGCCAGCTTCAACAATTTACTTTCTAGGAAGACCGAACGGAAAAAAAAAAAAAAAAAAAAAAAAAAAAAAAAACGCTTAGCATAGAGCATAATCCAAGGACCAACCGACGTCCACAAAACGTTGCCTGAAATGCACAGCCCTTTTTTGCACAGGAGCAACTGTTTAAAAAACCCTTGGTGTGAGTGCGAGCACAAGTGCCTAGAACCCACCGCAGCTTCTCAAGCGCGGACGAGATGTGCTGTCCTGCTTCTGATCTGGCGCAAGGACTCCTTCCACAAGCATTTTGCAAAAGGAGGGCTGTCGTTGACATCGCGCAGAATCAAAGAAGTCGGACCCCACCTGCACGCGGGGTGGAAGTTCGAACAAGATGCTAGGCGTTTTTGACCACTGACGCATGATGTGTTGCCCATCTGCAATCGTGAGGAAAGGATAGAAATAGTGCCACGGGCCTTCTTCTGTGAGCAACACTGCTCGTGCCAGACTTAGAGGCACCGGCTGGCCATCAGTGCCGGGTCTGAAGCCCTGTATCATAAGATCTCGTCCGAGCGTCCCTGCCCCACGACACAGACTCTTGAGGTTCACTGGTGCGGTTTTGTATCGAATCATAGCAAGTGCCCATGCAGTCCACGGACGAAACAGCCAGAACTCGTTCGAGACAGATGCCTCGCACTCTGTGGTCAAGAACCCTTCTGAGGCATCGAGTCTGAACAGCACGCCGGTGTGACTCCGCAGCTGCATCCGTGCAGCATGGGGATCTCTGTAGAGATAATGCCAGAAGGACCCGCTCTCCCGGGTGATCAACACTGCCTGCGCATCATCCTCTTGGAAGTGTCGCATCTGGCCTGAATGCCCTCCTCGCGGAAGTATCTGGCAAGGTGTTCGGCCGGAGTAGCAAGGTCCTCCCTGGTAATGACTCGATCGCACTCGCACGTAGCCGTGCCGCCTTGGACACATGCCCTGCAGACGTAGATCCTGCGAAAGGGCCCATGCTGGCCTCCTTCGGCCAGGCATGCCTCACATTGGAAGCACTCAGAGGTGTCCACCGCGCGGCACACGCTGCACCTTTCCATCCTCACGCACAAACGGACACGAAATTATCTGCGGCGTGACTCGGAAGGCTCAAACATTGCGGTTGCAGTATTCAGATGGAGGTTTCCGCTGCTAGAGAATACACACACTGGCGTGCGCTAAATCACGTCTGGATATGTCGTCTCCTGATTCACCTCCAACTAGCGAATCCCTCCTTTCCCTAAAAGCCTAAAACGCCCGACAAAAGGACAAACCAAAAAAACACTGCAATCCTAGCAGCGAGGATGCCTCGCTTCGCGCAGGCCTGTGCCAACGCCAGCCTGCATCCCAAGGTGCCCCAACGATGGGATCCCGTTTTACAAGTATGGGCTTCTTCGTAGGGAAGTTGGGTATTAGGGTTCCGACACTATACCCTTAAAAACGAACATAAGGGGGATATATGGGCATCCCTACTAAGAACTAATAAGGTTACCCCGCCACCCCCCACCCCCATCCTAACTACCCATGGGCTTTAGGGCTTTGCTATACTAGCCACCCCACCCCATGCACCCCCTGCCCAAATGATGAGGCCCAGGTCGGCTTCATTAAGCTTGCAATTGGAGCTTTCGGGCTCTGCGTTGCAAAAGCCTCTTCCCCCAAAATCTCAGAGGGTTACGGGTTCCAGAGCTGAGCTCTTGGGAAGCTTTGGAAGGTTCAGGGTTTTGGGCTCAAGTTTTGGGGTCTTGCAGAACAACCCTTCTTCCCGCCTGCCTGGCAGCCAACCCTAAACCCTAAACGCTAAACCCTAAGCCCAGCCAAGCCCCAAATGACAGGTCAGGATCTTAGCTAGGCATCCCGCACGACACATGGTCACATCTCTAACTGCAGAACTGGTGATCCCTCCTTCTGGGGTCACGGTTACTTTGCGGCCTCTTCTGCCTCTTCTGTTGAGGACTTAAAAAGTGTCCATAGTCCATGCTGGAGAGAGCTGAAGGTACCAGATGGAACGTACTCTGTTGCCTAACGCACGTAGGACGTAGGCGGTGCAATGCTGAGCCCTCAAAGCCCAAACCCCTAACTCCCCGAAACCTAAGGCTGAGCCCTGAGCTGTGAACCTTTAAGACTGGTTTTGGCATGTTGGCCTGTAGGGTACTGAGAAAAGCTTCGAGACCCCATCAGACCTTCGATTCCTCACAACTCCGTAGACCGAAGTTGTGGAGGCCCCGAACCCGAAACCCTACGCCTACACCCCTAACCCTAAATCCTATAAAACCGAAACCCGAAACCCGAAACCCCAAACCCTAAACCCCAAGCTCAACCAAAACTTCGCTGAGGAGCAGCTCCGAACGGCGCCAAGCGCGGCCGATGGGGTTGTGCGGATTGCAGAGGATCAGCGACTTGATGTTTTTGGCATCCAACAGCGCAGTGAAGCTGCCCTGGCTGTCGGGTTTAGGGTGTTAGGGCTTTGGGGTTTTAGGGTTCTGTTTTAGAGCTTCAGGGTTTCAGAGCTTTAGGGTTTTAGGGCTTCAGGGTTTCAGGGCTTTAGGGCTTTCGGGTTGGTTGCTGGGGGGGGCTTGGAGGCCTTGTGGGGTTCAGGGCTTTGGTGTTCAGCTTTCGGCTCAGGGACGGGTTTGTGTTGGGCAGGTGAAAAGGATGCCTCGGGTCCTCCCCTAAACCCTAAACCCTAAAAAACCCCTCAACCAGAATTGCCACCAGATCTGGCTTGGGGTTGTTTTGGGCTCCCGGGCCTTCTGGGGTTCAGGGACGGGGGTTTTTTGGGGAGTTTTGGTTAACAGCCTTGACATCCATGTCATACTGGCCAGACTTGTTCTGCTGCAGGTGATATCGCACCAGGGTGCGATCCTTAGGTGCCGGGGCAGGTGGGGGAGAGGGGGGCATGGGGGGGGTCCCCAACCCTGTAAACCCTAAACATCCCTAAGCCGCCCACGTCGGCATGAGGGGCAGAACTGATGGTCACGCAAATATTGAGCCCCCCAAAAATAAGGGCCTCATAGCTATAACCAGGTATGGTCAGGACTAGTTTAGCCAGTAAGCCGATGAACATCAGGGTGAATTCTTCTTAGTTTGGTAGGAAAGCCCCGTGTGATTACAGAAAAAGGGTGGTTTACTAAAGTAAGGGACCCCTAATATAGACCCCCAAATAGTAGGATTCCCTTATAATCAGGATCCCAATAAGGTACCCCTAATTTTCGGAAACTCTAAACCCTAAACCCTAAACTTCGGAAACCCCAAAATTGGAAGGATACCACTGCAAAGGATCGCAGGCCGTGACCAGATTCTGCAGCGGCGCATACAGAGGCACCATTAGCCTGGGCTTGACCCCGTGCTTTGTGTGTGTGTCTGTGTGTTTGTGTGTCTGTGTGTCTGAGTTTCTGTGTGTCTGTGTGTCTGTGTGTCTGTTGTGTCTGTTGTGTCTGTTGTGTCTGTTGTGTCTGTTGTGTCTGTTGTGTCTGTTGTGTCTGTTGTGTCTGTTGTGTCTGTGTGTCTGTGTGTCTGTGTGTCTGTGTGTCTGTGTGTCTGTGTGTCTGTGTGTCTGTGTGTCTGTGTGTCTGTGTGTCTGTGTGTCTGTGTGTCTGTGTGTCTGTGTGTCTGTGCGTCTGTGTGTCTGTGTGTCTGTGCGTCTGTCTGTGTCTGTGCGTCTGTGCGTCTGTGCGTCTGTGTGTGCGTCTGTGTCTGTGCGTCTGTGTCTGTGCGTCTGTGTCTGTGTGTCTGTGTCTGTGTGTCTGTGTGTCTGTGTGTCTGTGTGTCTGTGTGTCTGTGTGTCTGTGTGTCTGTGTGTCTGTGTGTCTGTGTGTCTGTGTGTCTGTGTGTCTGTGTGTCTGTGTGTCTGTGTGTCTGTGTGTCTGTGTGTCTGTGTGTCTGTGTGTCTGTGTGTCTGTGTGTCTGTGTGTCTGTGTGTCTGTGTGTCTGTGTGTCTGTGTGTCTGTGTGTCTGTGTGTCTGTGTGTCTGTGTGTCTGTGTGTCTGTGTCTGTGTGTCTGTGTGTCTGTGTGTCTGTGTGTCTGTGTGTCTGTGTGTCTGTGTGTCTGTGTGTCTGTGTGTCTGTGTGTCTGTGTGTCTGTGGGTCTGTGTGTCTGTGTGTCTGTGTGTCTGTGTGTCTGTGTGTCTGTGTGTCTGTGTGTCTGTGTGTCTGTGTGTCTGTGTGTCTGTGTGTCTGTGTGTCTGTGTGTCTGTGTGTCTGTGTGTGCGTCTGTGTGTGCGTCTGCGTCTGCGTCTGCGTCTGTGTCTGCGTCTGTGTCTGCGTCTGTGTCTGCGTCTGGGTCCGTGTCTGTGTCTGTGTCTGTGCGCGCGCGCGCGCGTGGGTGTGTGTGTGTGTGTGTGTGTGTGTGTGTGTGTGTGTGTGTGTGTGTGTGTGTGTGTGTGTGTGTGTGTGTGTGTGTGTGTGTGTGTGTGTGTGTGTGTGTGTGTGTGTGTGTGTGTGTGTGTGTGTGTGTGTGTGTGTGGTTGTGTGTGTGTGTGTGTGTGTGTGTGTGTGTGTGTGTGTGTGTGTGTGTGTGTGTGTGTGTGTGTGTGTGTGTGTGTGTGTGTGTGTGTGTGTGTGTGTTTGGGTCGGTGGGGGGTTTAGGGTTTAGGGTTTAGGTTTTAGGGTTTAGGGTTTGGGGGCTTGCAGAGATTTCGGCCTTGAGGGCTTTTTGAGGTTCGCTATTTAGGGCCCTGGTCATATTGTTGTCCCGCACCTGAACCTGCAACCGGTAACGGCCAACGTCATGGCCTTGCGATCGGCTTCCGGCAACTGTCCTCCACCCGATATCCTGAACCCGCCGCACAGTTGGCTCCACGATGTTCCACGGTAGTGCAGGGATTTCATAGTCATACTAGGACAAGCTTCCTCACTCTGCAGGATTCTATGCGAATCAACCCCACCCTGTCCCAAGCTCACATTCTCAAGACCAAACGCCTCATGCACCCACATCCTGTAGCAGCAAACCCCGCACCCAAACTCCTCAACCGGAGGATCTCGTGGTGAAGGACGTTCAAAACCTTGAGGTTCAGGTTTTTGGGTGTCATTGCCCAGGGACGCAATCTGGTCCCCGGGCTTCGTCATCGCCCGGATGATGTTGGCAGCGCTGGTCACCACACTGGCCGAGAAGGCAAAGTGCTCCGGCGGAGGCTGGTAGCTCCAACCCTGGACAGGCAGTCTCGGGCTTGAAGGGCTTAAAGGGCTACATTTGGCCTATCCTTAACCGGGGGTTACAATAGGGGGCACTAAAATCCCTATTAAGGACTGTTAGTATAAGAGGGAACATCCCACAACTAAATTCTAAACCCCAGAAAAGATCCCACGAACCTTAAAACCTCAACACGACATCCCGAAACATCCAGAGCTCCCAGGGACTCCGAGAGGTTAGAAGGCCAATTCTCTGAATGAAGATGGCCCCTCGTCTTCAAAAATGAATTTAAAGGTTTAGGGTTTAGGGTTGCGGGTTTAGGGTACCTAAAATAGGGGAGCCCTCAACTTTCGGTTTGGGCTTTTGGGTTTGGGAGTTCCTCCCGTGCCCCAGTCTAAGACAATATGACAATATGGGAAGGGCCCACGCGCCGTGCGAAATCGAATTTTGCCCGCAAAACGCACACGCACAGACACTTGTTCTGTTCTACCTCTCAAATTGCCGTGAAGAGTGCAACAGCTTCTTCATCACTGTCGCACCCCCAAGTCTATGAGTTGGAAACCCCACCTCCACCCCCTCGACCGCTTTAAAGACTGCGGCAGCTTCCTCACTAATGTTGCACATGCTCAGCCTGACCCTGATCTGCTCGGCGCCCTGACGTTCCACCAAGCCTCGGGCCAAGGCCGCTGCAGCTTGATCGTCAATGGCGCATTTGAAGAAGTTGAGTCGTGTCGGCTGCTTCACGGACTTCAGGCTTGCACCCAGAGCCACACCGGCCTTCTCGCTGATCTGACAGGAGGACAGCTTCACTTGGCTTAGCTGCAGAAAATGCGGCAAGGCCTCTGCAAGGTTGAGCTGCTCTTCCTCCTGCAAGCCCATTGCCCGCATTTCCTTGCGCACCCGCGCCGTCCGCTCAAAGACCTTCTCTTGCAAGTGCATCACGATCTCCTCGTCCGCGCGGTGTGTGAATGTCAAGGGCCAGCCACCAGGCAGCTTGTCTCTGCCAAGTTCCACTCGCTGCCGAAATCTCTCAGGAGTCATTGGCGCAATGCCCTGCAGGACTTCTCTCGTGCTCATCCACTGGCATTCCGCTACACACCAGCCTCTCTGGTTGTAGGGCGTGTCATTGAGCTGCAACTTGCTGAAGGGCTGTGGCCCAAACTTGCCTGTTTCTTTGCCTTCCTCATAGTAGATGTCTATGAAGGCAGGCGGTGATGCCTTCTCACTCTGATGGATGAGGTCCTCCAAGTGGATCACCCTAGTCACAGCCACGTGAGCATAGAGCACATGCATGGCATTCATGGCACGGTCGAAGTACATCTGCTCCTCCTCTGTGCGGCGGTACTGTGGCAAGCAGACGAAGTCAATGAACAGCCAGGTTGCACCCCAAACCTCCAGTCGCTGCAGCTCTCGCGCTTGGCTGCCAAAGCAGTCTGGGTGCTGCTTGGATTCCCAACAGTGGGACACTGACATGAAGTTGACTAGGCCTCCAGCAGTAGAAAACCCTCTGGAATCCCAGCTTAGCTGTTTGTACTCGTCTATCGTCACCAAGGCTGTTGCTGAAGAACCGTTTTTGTCGTTGAACACCTCGTGCTCTGCTTCCTGCCGACGCGGCCAGGGCCGGCCCTCCTTGGCAAGCAAGCTGCTTCAAATATTGCAGCCTCACCAAGCGGATGTTGGCGTCGATGAAAAAATCGAGCAAGTGCTGAGGGTTCTCCAAGTCGTACTCCTTTTCTTGCAGCAAGTGCTGCGGCTTCTGCAAGCTGTCTCCACCGGGGTGCCTCTTCTGGCAACCCAGTAGCACAGGTGCTCTATCAGCCATGGCTCCAAGTACCGCGATGTTCGCGCCCTTGCTCATGACTGAGCCACAGACTGGCCACAGATATTAAAAATTATAATCCCTCTTGGGGTACCCTAAATATTAGGTGCCGTATTATAATAGGGATCCAAAAAGGCACCATAATAACCACAATATTGACAACCACCGTAATATCGTCTACCTGCCGCAGCTCCAATCATTGAGCCGCGAACGGCTTTGGGCCATGCGGTGCAAGCAGACCAGTCTCAATATCAAGATGACTTGCGGTGGTAGTTCGGCTCACGCCCGGTGTGGCCAGACCAACTTTCAACAAGATCCCCTGACAGGCAAACTCATAATGCACCAATGTTTGGATTCCTCTGTCAGCCTCTGAGCGAGTGAAAGGGATGACCTAAAGGCCCTGTTTAGGGCTCTGAGCCCTAACGCCCTGAAATTTGGGTTCAGGGTTCAGGGTTACATAAGCCCTAGCGCTTCCACAGCTTTCCACGAGGGCCCGCGCCTGCTGCTCCACCAGCCATCTTCCAACAGACTGCCAAATGGACTTTGGCTGGAGGGTGTATCCTCTCAGGTCTTTTGGCATTTGTGGTGCCCCAAACCCTAAACCCTAAACCCTAAACCCTACTCCCTAAACCCTAAACCCTAAACCCTAAACCCTAAACCCTAAACCCTAAACCCTAAACCCTAAACCTTTCAGCTCCAGAGGGGTACGGCTTCTGAGGCTCTGCGGGGCTTTAGGGGTTTCAGGGTCCAGGTTGGTAAGTCTTCCAAGATCCCATCCCCGAACTGAGGAGGCCTTAAAGGCCAACCCTTCCGGCAGCCAGCCGCCAAAGGGTTCGGAAGGAACCTAGCCCTACGCCCTAACGTCACAAGACAAAAAAGAAGAAGCTAAGACTGTTTTAAAAAAAAAAACACACCCTGAGGCGTAAAGCGCCTAACATCTCCAAGATCTGAAGACCCAAAACCCCATAAACCCCCCTAAACTCCCTAAACCCCCTTAAGCCCTAAGCCCTAAACCCTAAACCCTAAACCCTAAACCCTAAACCCTAGACCCAGGGCTCCGAAGGTATTCTCGGCGGCTCGACGAGCAATCGCTCGACGGATCTCCTGCACAGACTTGGGGCTTCTGCTTTCAGGGTTTAGAAGTGATCTTTCAGGGGGATGGAGCTGGTTTAGGGTTTAGGGTTTACGGTTTTGGGTTTGGGGTTTGGGGTTTGGGGTTTAGGGTTTAGGGGGCTAAAGCCCGAGTTGCGCCTCGCAGCAGGGCAACTCCATGTCTGCCACCCACCTGAGTATGCAAGCGGGCGAAGAGCAGCTGGGCTCTTCGAAGATTCCAAGATTGAGCCGCTTTCTTGGGGATTCATGGACTTCAACGCCTGGGGGTTTACCGGGTCTATGGGCTTCCCTGAATATTGGAACGGTGTTAGGGCCAGGGCAAAGATTAAAGTTTCAAAAGACATCCTTGACCCCTCTCAGAAAGGCTTCGAGCAGCCGGGGCTTCTGGGTCTCAGGACCTCCCAGTGACAGTCTCTTCCACGGCTATGCAGGCCCAGTTGCATGTGCAAGGCTTCCTTTGCGGCCTGAGCTCAGCTTCGCGGCTCAGGGGGCTGATCCGGAGCAGAGGCTACCGGCAACACCGACAACGAGACGCGGGCAGCCCAGACGGGGGTACTTCAAACCCTGCCGAAGGCCTGCAACCCGGGGCCCCTGGCTCATCGCACGATCCCAAGCGTAGGAGCTGGCATGACCAGCGAGGGGGGCCTCAACCCGAAAGCCCCAAATCTTTATCCGCCTGGCCTCTCCGTACATCACCAGGGGCAGCTCATGCTTCGCCTCAAAGGAAGCTTCGAGCTTTGGAATGTAGCGTTGTGGGGCGCTTCTTGGCCTCCGGGACGAAGAGTGGTAGGCCCCTGACTCTCTCACCGTCCCGTTGCGAGGACTTCCGAAGAGCTTGCATGCTCAGTACAGGGCCCTACAGCCCAGAACCCCAAAATTCCCAACCATTCCAACACCGTATATAGCCTGCAAACCCAAAACGCCTCAACTTGCCTAATGCCCCTTCACCACCTAGTCACAGAAAGACCCTACACCTTGTAGACCCTCAACCCTCAACCTGCAACCCTCCACCCTCAACCTTCAACCCTCCCTCAACCCCCCCCTTGTCCGCGGGTGCGCAGTGTGGAGGTGGCCCCGCTCCACCGGCTCATCGAAGCCAAAAGGGTCGGCGCGCCGCTGGCGCCGCCTGAAACCCGCGCCAGCTGGGCTCAGGATTCTCAGGGCCTCCGAGGGACTTTTTGGGGGATTGATGGCGGCTATCAGGGCTTTATGGGGATAGGAGTTATAACGAGTATAGGGCCTATCTGGGCTAGAGGACTGATAAGGCTGAGAGGAGTAACAGGGGTTCCACCTCCGTAGCCACCACGCGTAGAGAAGGGCTGAGGCTCCGAGCGCCAGGCCCAAGGGCAGCGGATTCCTCTCGGCCACCATGGCTGCCAGGAGGCCCTAAGCTTTGAAGTCTCGACGCCTCTCAAAGATATCTTTTTTGCGGGCTTAGGGCTCAGGGGCTTAAGGTTCGGGTGCAGGGTGTAGGGTGTAGGGTGTAGGGTTTAGGGTTGGGGAGCTGTAAGTATTTGGGATCGAGGGCTTAAGAGCCTGAGAAGTGGCATGCCAGCGCTTCGATGCGGAAGCCAACGATCCGACCAGCAGGCAGAGTTGCAACAACTAGTGGCTGGGGTTGAGGGAAATACCTTTAGGGCTAAGGCCTCTTGAACATGTCGAGGGGCTAGGGGCGGGCGGCTGTAGCACTTGGGTCTCCAGCTCTCAAGCCTGGGTTGAGGGGGGGGCGGTGATCCCCTGCCAGAGTCGCCGCATGTCTCCCAAGCCCCCAACAAACAAGGAGGTTCGGGGGTTGCAGTGTCTGGGTTTCGGGCTTCAGGCCACAAGAAACCCCCAACCACACGAGCCCCTGCAGATCGCGAGGAGGCAGCACCAGAGTCCTCCTGGAGAGATCTGGGACCTGGCAGCTGATTGGCTGCGCACTCTGCAGGTGATCAGGGGGCGGGGGGGGGGGGGGCCTTTAGTACTAAAACTCCCCCCTCCCGCTTGTAGACCTGTTTTCGGAGTTTTGGAGGCAAAGCCCCAGGTTTGGCCCAGGGCTTCGCATGTTTAGAGGTCTAGAGGTTTTGAGGGCTTTAGGGTTGAGGGTTTTAAGGGTGTTGGGGGTTGAGGCTTTTTAGGGGCTCAAGGCTTAGGATCCGATCCATTGCCCAAAGAGGGAGTTTAGGGCTTAGGGCTTGGGGCTTAGGGCTTAGGGCTTAGGGTACAAGAGCACCCCAATCTCCTGAAGTCAGAATCCAGAATACAAGATCGCAAGCCCCACTTCATTAGACCTTGGAGCCCACCCTAAACCTAAACCCTAAACCCCAAGTAACACACCGGTTCTCCGACCTGCTGCGGCTGCAGACGTTCGGAGGGAGGCTGCACGAAGCACCTTCGAGCTGCACGTCCGGATGCTTTGCAGGGCTCCGTAGGTGTTTGCAATGGAAAGCCTTGTAGGGTTCATCTCCTGAGGTTTACTTGGAGGCTCATGGTGTTGAAGAAGAATGACTCAAGCAAGAAAAACTCCACAACAAGCTGATTTAGGGTACACCTAGCCGTACTAGTGTAACTATCCAAGTTGAGTTGAGGCTTCATACTTGTCTGGCTCGCTGTCCGAATTTACTTGACATCTTCATGGAATGGATTCAGGCAAGTGACCAGCACAAGGGAGGCTGTCTTGGGTTGAAACCATGGGCATGCCCTACATGACTATCAGGATCCCGATAGGCTTTAATGTACCAGCGCCTAAGTTTTGAACTAAACCCCGCTTCATACAGCCGCGAAACCCTACACCAATTGTGGTTTTGAGCTGTTAGGAGGACCCCGAGCTGCGCACGGATTCACTAATGCTAGCATCCCGAAGCATACACCTTTGCGTGGCTCGCACATCAGGGCTTCAGGCTGTTTAGGGCCTACAGTATGCTCAGCTCTTAGAGCATTGGCTTTGTCTTCTCGGGTTTCGGATGCCAGGCTCAAGGCTTTGGGCCTCGGGATGCAGCCAGGATACACCAGGCTCGTCAAGAGTGCCACGGGCAGGAGTGCGCCGCGTCGCGTCATGGCTCTTCCACTTCCCTCTGTGGAGGGTCCCTCAGCGGTAGCCTGGAGTCGAGCTTTTCCTAGCGGCGGGCCCCCAAGTCCCTACTTGCAGCACGGCTGCCCAACATTCACAAGGGGTGGCTGCATGAAGTCTGGGTCGACATGCGCCCTAACTATGTGAGTTCTGTGGCAGCACTTTGCTTCAGCCGAAAGCGCCTGCAGTCGCACGGTAGGCACCTAGCCTTGAGGGTTGAGGGCAAACTGAAAATGAGAGCTAACCTTCCCTGATTTCTACGTCGCTGAACGCAGGAACCACTGAAGCCTTGAAACCCTTACGCGCAGCTAGGAAACGGAAGCCCCCACCATCTTCAGCAGCCAAACCTCTAGCCCCCAAAGCCCAAAGCCCCGAACCTCAAGTCACTTTGCCTGACAGCCAAAAGCTTGCAGCTGCAAATCCACATCCCTTCAAACCTTCAGCACCTTCAGCGCCTGGTCCACAAAGCGCGGTTAAGTGTCTTAAATTTGGAGTCTTTGCGGTTCCGAATTCATAGGATTTGGGCTTAGGGCTCGGGGTGTATGGTTCATTGGACATTTTGTGTGTGTGTGTGTGTGGGTGTGGGTGTGTTCAGGGTCTGGGATTCAGAGTAAAGGCCCTTGTAGACCCCAAACCCTCTGAGAGACGTCAGCGTCCTGAGGGTCCGGGAAGTTCTTAAGGCGCTTGGACATCTTCTTGCCATCGGCCTTCAGGGATTGGAGCCCGGGTACCCGAAGCCCTGTCTCAAGGGTGTAGGGCCGCTTAGGGTCTTGGGGGTTTGGGGTTTGGGTTGCGGGTGGAGCATTGAGATAAGCTGATAAGGTCAACTCAGAAACCTGAACCTCAAAACCTACGATAAACCCCCGAAGCTCTGAACCTTTATCTGGCTTGGCGACATGAGCTTCGGCTTTGCGAATACTTTGGGGAAAGCCCGGGGCAAGTAATCCCCCCCCTCAGACTCGCATGGAAGAGAGGTTTCGGGTTCACTGTCGGGGTTCCAAGCACAAGGGGTACCCGAAAACGATTTGAAAGCTGCTATCTGCTATTTTTGTGGGGAGGGAACCCAATCTTCTGGTGAGAGCCCAAAGCCCCATGTCGCTGCCAGGCGGCTGCCAGCACCAAGCCGTTGACAATCAGGTTTTGGAAGGGAGGGCTGTCGAAGAGGTGGGTTCCCAACACCTGGCAATGCAGGAGGGCTTAGGGTTTAAAGTTTAGGGTTTAGGGTTTAGGGTTTAGTGTTTTGGGTTTGGGGTTAGGTTCAGGGTTTAGGGCGGTTTAGGGCCGTTTAGGGTTGAGGTTTTAGGTCCTGGAAAGCCCACGACTCAGTCAGGCGCCAAGAAACGGTTTGAGAGGAGGGGGTGATACTGTCCCAACTCTTTCGTGACCATTCAATCCCTTAAGATGACGTACTCCCAAGATTCACTCCTGTCTCTAGCTCCTCGCTCTCATGCCCATAGCGGCTTTGTTATGTCGGTCTTCAGGGTTTGGACGCGATGAGGGGCTTTTTCGGGTCTGGGAAGCGCACCATGAGTGTGTAGAACCAGCCCCTCGTCTGGTCAAGCCCCTCCGCGATGAACTGGGCTGGAAAGCTCTTCTCGAACTCCTCCGCGTGACGCAGCAGCGCAGGTTGCTAACCCTGCGCCGCAACCCCTAAACTCAAAGGAGCCGCACAGACCTGAACACACCCAGAACTACGCCCCCCCCAAGCGGCAAGGATTGTGACTACGATGTGTCGTTGGGGAGACATTTTCGTGATCGGAAGATACTTCTTGCAGCCCAGGTTTTCGGATTCTGGGTTCTCGGGCACCGTACTAAGCTTTGTCGAGGAGTTTCGTTTCGGTGTTGGTGCTTGGTGGATGGAGGTACAGCAAGTTGCACAAGTGGAAGGAGAACCCCAACCCCAAAACCCTAAGCAACCCAGGTTTACAAAAGTCTCGCCCCACAACACTTCAGAACATCCTGAATGCTCCAGACTGCCGAACCTGATCGGAAAGGCCCTCACTGCTCTTCAGTTCAGAAATCAGGGTTTGAAGGTAGTACGGCCCCAAGGACTCAGCTACCTAAACCCTAGAACTAAAGCCAGCATGTACCTCCCCTCAGCTAGGGACTTACTCCAAAGACAGTATTAAGGTCCGGGAAATAAAAGAAGAACATCAGAAGGATGAAATTGTAGCAAAACCTCCTTCATGTTGGATTAGAAACACAATGTGCTCTGCAAAGCCAATCCATTGCGGATGGACATGGAATGATTTTGCAATTATTGCTGTAATTGTCCTGATTGCGAGGAAATAAACGGTTGATGCAATTGTCCTCATGAAGTAGAAAAAGACAATACTTCAAGAAACCAAGGTTTTGGTTTGCAACGGCCCTAAACCCCAAACCCTAACAGCCTGAACTTAAAACCCTAAACCCTAAAACCTTAAATCCCAAAACCCTAAACTTCACCTTCTAAGCCCAAAACCCTAAAACCCTGAACCACACCTCTCCTCCTTGCCCTCGAAAGGATAGTGCTTCGAGGCGTAAGGCATCGACCCGCTCTCGAACCAGCAGTCGAAGACCTCTTAAGGCTTTAAACTTTAGGGCTTAGGTAAACCCTAAACACTGAACGCCTAAACCCTAAACCGTAAACCTTGTAGGTTTTGGGTTAGGGTTTAGGGTTTAGGGTTTAGGGTTTAGGGTTTAGGGTTTAGGGTTTAGGGTTTAGGGTTTAGGGTTTAGGGTCTGAAAGGCATACAGCCGTTTGCTTTGCGGTTGGCCGCTTCGAGCGCGTCTCCGGCCTGCGGCCTGGGGGTTCCTGTTCGTCGGTTCGGGGGCTCTCGTTTCCCAAGGCGGGGCTCAGGGTTTAGGGTTTAGGGTTTAGGGTTTAGGGTTTAGGGTTTAGGGTTTAGGGTTTAGGGTTTAGGGTTTAGGGTTTAGGGTTTAGGGTTTAGGGTTTCGGGTTTCGGGTTTCGGGTTTAGGGTTCAGGGTTTAGGGTTTAGGGTTTAAGGCGCCCCTTAGTGACCTAAACCCCTGAACCCGGAAAGAAGAGGCTGTGGCTCGCCTCATCGATGCGCTTCAGCATGCCCTTGCCCTTCTGAGATGGGATCCTCAGCTTTGGGCTCTGGGAAATTTCAGGGTTTAGGGTTAGGGTTTTAGTTTGGGGGGTTTAGGGTTTAGGGTTGTTTGGGGTTTCGGGTTTAGTGTTTAGGGTTTAGGGGTGTGGGGGCAGGAGGCTTTCATGGTCTTTTTCTTGGAGCTCGCACCACTCTAACGCCTCAACCCTAAACAACCCCAAAATCCTGAAGGCGCCCAACGGCCAAACCCTGTAGAAGGTCCTACTCTCCCCAAAATCAAGACCCTACAAAGCCTACAAGCTTTCTGAATCCCGTAAAAACCCTCAAGGCCAAACTCTCCCCATGTCGTAAGGTATGTCGGTTCCCAAAACCTACCAGGAATTACACAGGGTATCTTCCTTTTAGCTTGTGTTGTATGACGGAAACCATCAGTATCCCGGCCATTAGCCAGAAGTCTGGATGTCGTCGATGAAGTGCCGATGGATGTCCTCTTGCACAGGGCTGGGTGAATGCTTCGGGGGTAAAACGCACAGCCACTCGTGAACCCCTCAAGGTAAAACGCACAGCCACTCGTGAACCCCTCAAGCCCCAAGCCCCAAAATCCCTGGAGCTTGGAGAATGGTGTGAAAGCTCAGGGCGTTTGGGCCTTTTGGGTCTCAAGAGGGTTCTTCAGGGTGTAGAAGGGTTTAGGAGCCGAGGTCTAGGGATTTCGGGGATTTCGGGGTGGGTTTACAGTCGGGAAGGGTGGGGGGAGGGGAGGTTGTGTCCCTCAACCCGATAACTCAACCACTAAGACTATGTTCAAGGTCTTCAGGGCTTTGGTTCTTCGGTAGGCTCCAGAAACTTGGAAGCCACGGAGTTGGAGGAGCTGATTTGAACCCCAAACCTAAGACCTCGAAAACCTGCAAACCCCGCCCTTTTGAACGGGTGACTACGCCGAATGGGGCGTACGTTTTTGCCACCAGGTTTTGGCTCAAGCATGCCTGAGGCAGTTCTCTGGCTTATTTGTTCTAAGCGTTTTGGGCTGAGGAGGGCTTCGTGAAATGTTTTCGATCGGGTTTAGAACGGTGCTGCCCTAAGGCTTTACAGTAGGGCTTCAGGGGCTTCAGTGGGTTCAGGATGTTACGACAATGCGGCTGGACTGCCTTGATCTCCCTGCCGGCATACTTCTCCAACTCCGCCACCGATCCGATGCACACCACCTGCGACTTAGGGCTTGGGCCTCAAAGAGCAGACTCTTATGGATTGAGACTTTAATGGTTGACACCCTAATGGCTCCATTAGTCATGGTTGGGAGGCTTGGAGAGGGACATGAAAGGGTACCCTGATTTAGGCTCCTCATAACCTGTGCTACCTTCGAACACAGTGGTTGTGTGTTCCCGGCTTTGACGCTCCTATTCTGGCATCTATGCTTGCATGTCGTGGGCGTTGGTCCTAACTACGGCTCTTCCAGCGTAGGTCATACAGGTCACAAGAAACTTGTACACCCCGGCTCCCAAATCATGAAATCCTGGCCATGCAGGGCCCAAAAACCATAAAATCATTAAGCAGGAAAAGCCCTTGAAACCTTTCACAAAAAAAATCGGCCGCAAAACCAGGGAGCCCAATACCCCTTCATTGAGGAATGTGGAATACTGCCGCGGCCTCTTCAAAGTCAGACGACACCCAGAGGGGGATGGGCCTCGAACAAAACTCCGGCAAGGGCATAACATGTCAGCTTCATATCCAAAGGCTATGGCTTCGTACACTCTCCTAAAAGCTTAGGGTTCCGGAATATTTATGGCTTACAGAGTAGGTCCGTGCTTCTTGCTGTGAGTTTTGCGTTGAGAGTAAAGGGTTCAGATCGGGTCCTTCCGTACAGTTCGCCTGTTGTATGCTTATGGCTTGTGCGAGGGGATGCGGCCACATTCTGCGATCCGCATTCCGCGACTCTGAAACCTCGCTCTCGCCTGGGTCGCATGTAGCCCGGTGTTGTGTTCGCAAAAACGTGAACTCCGAAACTGTCCTTCTCGCCATTTCCGTTAATCTAGAAACTGGCACGGCGACAGCTGACCTGCCGGCACACAGGTGCTTGACAACGCAGCGCACAAGATCGTTCTAGATCATGCTTACTGTCCAGCCTCGAAAGCTGTCGTTCGGCAAGCTTCCGTAGTGTTACCACTGGTTGGGTCTATGCATAAGGGGGTTCAGGGCCCTCAAGGTTTGGGGATGTGTAGGGGGTTTTTTTGTCTTAGGGCCTTGCACGCCTGTTGTGAGACTGAAGGCCTCCTGGTCAACAGGAGAGTATGCAAAAACAAAACTATCAGCAGAATCGGAAAAGCTCTACAAGTAAACCCTGACGCGCTGTTCGAAAATCCTGAGATCGCAACGCGCGGCTTCAGCTCGTCAAGAAGGTTTTTGAAAGGGATGGGCCCGGGTGCAGGATGTCATTCACAGGCGGGAAGAAGACGCTTTGCAAACGTTCAATCGCACCTTCAAAAGCAGCACGACACCGGCTTTGCACAAAGGGCGAAACGAATTTGCAGATGCTCAGGTCCCCAAAAAACCACCTGAAAAAGCTTTCAAAGACTTGGGGGTCCAATTGCACGACTCTGGTTAAAGCTTCTAGCCCCTACAGGACCCTAAACCCTGCCGCGCCGTGTGCCAAGGCCCCGGCGTGCCCCAGAAGCGATTGCGAGACACGCACCAGTCACGTGCCTTCGAATTGGCGGCTTTGGGGTTCTGAGTAGAGTGTCGGATTCGGGTTTTGGGTGAGAATGCGACGCGAAATCTTGCTGAAAGAAAATAATATAGCTCCGCACTACCTTCAAGCCAAAATCCCTAAGCCCCCAACCCTCTTCACATCAGCATCCAGCAGGAAATCCCAGCCTCGGTGAGCCAGTTGTGGAAGCGCTTCTCCTTCACAAAGGAGGGCACCCAATACCTGCAGCGAGGGTGGGGGGGGGGGGGGCCCATGGGAATCACCTTGCAGCCCCAAGACCCCAGATCAGCGCCTTCTGGGCCTTTAGTGCCACAAATTGTCGGGTCTCTTCCCCATCCAAACATCGAAGTAGACTCGCGGGTCACGTCTGGTTGTTGTTCTTTATGAGCTTCTCGCGCATCTCCTCCACCTTGATGAACCAGCTCGGGATAGCCTCGACTACGGAGTGGAAGTTTAGGGTGCATATGGCATAGGGTCAGAGCTCCTCAAACCCCGAGACTCCCCGAGCGAAGGGTTTCAAGTCCCTTGGACTTTCGCATGGGCCTCCCGAGATCTCTGCCGCAAGATGGTCTGTCATCAGCACCGCTTGGCTACGATGCGGGTAACCCCGGCCGCTTTGAGAGATTTCCCGATTACCCAAACAGAAACACTTTATCTAACGGGCCCAGGGACATAGCAGACAAGGACTTAGATGTGGCTGGTGCAGGGAGTAGGGCTCGTTCTTGATTTCGTCCGGGGGGAAGGTGGGGGAAGGAGGGGCCTTGCGGGTTGGGGGCTGGAGGTCAAGAACAAGGGCAACCACAACAATACCGGCCGCCGGCCGCCGGCCGCCAGCCACCAGCAACACCACCAACACCAACACCAACACCGACGATAAAAACAAACAAAACAAATACACAAATGATTCCAGAATATGTATTGTACAAACGATACAAACAAAAGCACAAACGACACTGAACGACACAAGGTCCCTTTGCAAGCCAGCGGAGCCCAGCCAAGCTAGCCAAGCCAAGCCAAGCCCGAGCCGAGCCAACCAAGCCAAGGCAGAGCTAAGCCGAGCCAAAGCCAAGTCAAGCCATGCCTTTGCAAAGAGGAGACGCCCGAGCCGCTCTATTCAACATAAACATGCGTGAACCCCCTGAACTGCATAATTCCCATAATCCCCGAAATTCCCAGAAGAACCCCCCCTAAACCCTGAACTTCAAAGGGCAAAGCCCGCGAGCCCACGCCGGCAAACTCTGCTTTCTATAGGGTTTAGGGTTTAGGGTTTAGGGTTTAGGGTTTAGGGTTTAGGGTTTAGGGTTTAGGGTTTAGGGTTTAGGGTTTAGGGTTTAGGGTTTAGGGTTTAGCACTAACCAGCAACCCTGAAACCCCAAGCACCTCGTCACGCTTACACCGCGCCGGGTCCGATTCAAACGCCTATGTTCAGAAAGAATCGAGCTCTACAGCTCATAGTAGCTCAGATTGGGGGCCTCTTTGGTCATGAACTCCTAGCATAATGACAGAGACGATGATTAAACCCAGTAGCCCAAAAGTCCGACAGAACAAGGGTCCAATGCTTTGCCCTGCAGCTTCTTTCACCTTCCAAGCAAGCAAGTATTATCCTTTTTGGCATGCTGCACACACTGGTTGCCGTCTCCTGAACAGCTTCAAACTACTTCACACCGGCTCAAATCTGATCAAGACATGGCAAGGGTACCCACAACGAGGGGCAAGTAGAATACTCGCGAGTTTGACACGAATGTACGCGCACAAGCCCTCACGTGCTTGGGGCAACATGATCTGGTTAGTCCGCGCTGAAGAACACCGTGTCAAGAAGGCGCTTCCGAAGAAATGCCACCGATGTCAAGGCCGACGTCACCGATCCCTGGGACTGGGTGGCATCGAGACTTGAAACTACCGCAGCCGAGGCAAGGGAGGCGGCGGGAACCGGGAACGAGGGTTCGGAGGAGTCAAGAAAGAAGAAGATGCGTTGCAAGATGTTCTTCGGCAGTCGACAAGTTGTCGTGGCATAGTACATCCAGAAGAATTGTGCGATCAGCCCCTCCTTTCGATCCTGCCTGAGTCTGTACACGCTCAATACCTTTGCCAAGCTCTTGCGGCCTTCTCGGTGGCTGACTATGTCGATGAGGGTCTCAAAGTGCCACAGACACGATCTCTCCCTTCGTGACGGAGGGCTGTCCTTCAAAATTGAAACTGGAAGGTTTCGGGCTGTGGCCGGGATAACGTCGGCCGGAACATGCCAAGCACCCTTCAGGCGTTCGGGCCACCTGGGAGAAAGCAGGCTGCAAATCAACTGTTGTAATTAGCGGCTGACATCACAACAACTCGTCCGGTGCACCACGGACGCTTACATTCCCACCTCTCCTGCAGGATCTTCTTGAGATGTGGATACCGGTCAACTCGGTACAGGACAAATCTCGCCACACCGGCCCAGGCGATCGTTAGCAACGACTGGTGGATCAAGCCTGAGCCGAGATTCATTCATCATTGCCATTCTGGCATTAGATCTGCTAGCTTCCTTCCCAACACCAAACTTGCCCAACTTGAGCCGGGATTCCCTCGGTAAAGGATGCACGAGCCACAAGAGCCTTTAAAAATGCGGCCGCTGCATACAGAGTGATCAGCAAGGTCGCGAACATGTGGTTGTCCAACAAAATCAAGAAAACTCCAAAGTATCCACCGACATTCAGGACCAAACTCTCCGCAGCTTCTTGCCCAGAACCCCACAGCAGCAATGGAAGCAGATGGAAGGCAACGATTGCGTAGTACATCGCCAACCTTACGTGTCGCAGAACTACTTTGAACTGAACAGCTCCCATCTCGCATGGAAGATGCTGCGCCAATACCTCTCCAGTAGCTAAACATGTTGGAGACCAAGCCCAGTTGAAAAACTCCGCCTGCCCTCTCCCGCCTCAAACAGGAACATAGAGTTTTTCAGGTGTTTGTGAAACCCTGACTGACTTGCTAGTCTGTTGACAATCCAGGGCTCTGAAGCGAGTTGCTCGCCCGGGCATCGTCCCAAATGTGCGGAAAGCGGTCGTCGAGCCGGTATCGAAGTCGCCAAGATGTGAAGAGGGCAATTGGTAGCAGCACAGTATAGATAACGATCAATGCCGGCTTTTGACCCACACCGATTTGCAGCATGCTCTGCACAAGAACCCTGGACTGCGCTGGAAACTCAAAGAGAATGCTTCAGTGCTTGGTGTTTGTCTGGGGGCTGTTGAAAAAACTGTGGACTCCATTTATTCGGATCCCTTTCTACAAGGGGTGTGAGTTCCAACTACTTGCGGCGGGTTTTACTCACATCAGGTCGCGAGAATACACATCACCCCATTGTGGACGCTGCATAGCGGAAATACACATCAGCACGCAGCGGAGATATACGGGCAAAGCAATCCCCAGGCAGCTTCTGGAACTTAGGCAAGCAACGAACATGGATCTTCCTATGGCTCAACAGAAAACCACGCCAGCAACATGGCTGTGCAAAACCCCAACTATTAAACCCCATTGGTCACTCACTCTACGTCTTTCCCAGTCCAGGTGGCGCCAGAATGCCCAGGCAGAAAGCTACAAGCCGAGCACGGTGCCGTCCCGCAGCTGACGCGTGCGGCATGAGCAAGAGTCCATGAATGCGTCGCAGGAGACCATCCATGAGGCAGCAGAACCCTAAATCACATAAAAGCCCCCGCCTGCTTGGGGCCTCTACCACTCGGAGCAGCCCCCGATTGGGTTTGGGAATGCAGGGTGGCTTTGAGGATCAGGGGTTTGGGGCTTGGGGTTCTGGAGTTGAAACCCCCACTCCGCTTCGACTGGTAAACCGCCGAGCTGCAGCCGACGTACTGACTTGCAAACTACTCAGAGTTTAGGGTTTAGGGTTTTGGGGCTTAAGGGTTTAGAGTTTAGGGCTTGGGGGCCAGGTTTGGGGGGCTTGTCGGGTCGAGAGCTTGTAGGCTTTACACGGGGCTAAGATCAGCGGGGGTCTCGATTGCAGCAAGCCACGCCGGCCACCCAAATCCAGTCTCGGCTCCTAAAAGGGGCCTGATTAAGGTCCTTACTACAAGGGAAATCCGACTACTTGGGGTCTATATTAGGGGATCCTTACTTTGCTAAACCCCCACTCCGCTGGGCCCGGCGCCCGGTAGATGAGAGGCGTGTCAGACCGCCAGCAATGGGGATAGTTGTGCACCTTCAGACTGGCTTTTGAAAGCCTAAAGGGCCCGGAAGCCCCCCAAAAAAGCCTCAGTTCAGCCCTGACAAGCCCACACCCCTCCTCGTCACCCCAAAAAAGACGAAACTTCTATCCCCTAGATCTAGAATCTTCGCATCCTGCGGTTCGCCTTTCAGCTGTTCTGAGCCTGGAGGGGCGTCCATCATTCCACCCCCCAACCCGAACGAAATTGCAATCTACGCAATGGGCCTAAACCCGGATAACTTGCGAACCCGGTATTGCGGCGGCTATCAGAATAGGTCACAAGCCCACCTGAATATGCATCCGAACTCCTGCTGGAAGGGGGGGAACATCAAAAACATCCTTGACCCCAACCTCGGTGCCGTTGAACACCAGCTTCCCCTCCTTCTTCAGCTTCTCCTGAGAGGGAGGACTCATTGGGCCGGGCTGGACACATGCTCAATCCTTCTTTGGGGCTTAGCATGAGGGCATGAGGTGGGCAGCTTCTCCAAACAGGGGATCGGCTTGTTGCACCAGTGCTATCTTATCATGTGGGGACCCGATCAGCATGCGGCTCACGAAACATTGGGTCAGCTTGAGAAGTGCAGCGCAGGTGCTTCACTACTCATGGGCTTGCTGCAAAAGTCGGATTGCTGGTGCACCGCGTTCCTCCCAAAGAAGGGTGGCCCCGGTGCAGGGAACTAGCAATTGGGGTTCATTCAGCACTGTAGAGGTACATCGAGGCAACTAGTCTGCACCCGAAGCTCCAAACCCCACCCTAGACCCTGAAGCCCACTGTAGAACTCTTTCTAAATCCCGAAGGCTAAGCCCGACTTCCTTTGCTGGATCCCTGCGCGACGGCCTTGATGTCTTTGTCCGCTTCCTTGACGTGCTTGCCCTTGAAGTCTGGCACCTCCGAAGGTTTCGGGTTTCGGGTTTTGGGGTGTTTGGTTCGGGGCTTGAGGTTCAACGTTTGGGGTTTAGGTTTCTGAGTGTATAGGGTCCGGGGTTCAGGGTTTGGGGCTTAACTTTCTGTAGATTTAAGGGGCAATTAGAGTGTGAACCCGCCATGGAAGCCGGACATTCACTCTAATCATGGACATGGTTGAGCCCGCCTGCGGGCCCAAGAGCCTCAACAGCTGCAGAAGCCGCCACCCTAAACTCTGAACCCGGCACTCGAGTAACCCTGCGTGATGATTTCAGCTTTCGGCAAGTCAGAGCAGCAGGGAGGTAGTCGGAGATTTTAAGGCGGGTGCGATGCTGCGTCTGCCCCGTACTCGCATGGCAACACTGCACAAATACCCTGAACCCAAGCCGAACCCCAAGGCAACAGCAGAGACCCACAGCCTCGTCTGTGAAGCGACCATCATCATCAATAGGGCACACCATTCCGCTTCCGTCCTCATGGGCTCCACATATAGACTTGTAAAGTTTGTATTGGGGATGTCGCGGAACGCTTGTTGAACCTAAGCCCTAGAATCCCTAGAAGCTTACAGGGCAGCTCGAAAGGTTTGAGAGTTATGGCCTAGGAGCATAGGAGCATAGGAACAACGTTTTTTTCTTTTAAGTCTAGCTCGGAAGCCGAAAGTAAGCCAATCCTCCCATATCGTGAGCCCCAGTGACTCAAGAACCAAGACATTCACCCCTCAACTTCCTCCTGAGCAGCAAGTGACTCTGAAACGAGATGCGAGACCTCCATGTCTGACAGTTAGACATCCTCGGCTGCCCAGTTCAAGCCGAAACTCGTCACAGCCGCACGCGACGGGTCCACCCAAACACCCAAAACAGGATACGCAGTGAACCCAGACCCCTCTCCGAGCCCATAAACCTTCAAAACCCGACACCCTATAAGCTCCCTATTCAAAAAGCTGTGCCCAGGTAAACGGCTGCCTTCTGGATGATGCCAGCCCCGAGGCACACGCGGTTGTCATCCTGAGTTTGACGACAACGAGCCCTTTAGGAGGCGAGTACAGAGTGTAGGGCTTACGCAGTAGGGCTTATGGGGCTTAGACTTTAAAAGGTTTAGGGCCTGAGCCACTGAAACCAAACACCCTCACATGCTCAAACCCAACACCTCCAAGCCCAGCAACGCTCTCAAAACCCTCGCTGCAACGGAGCCTCGGTGCCCAGGCCTCTTTAGGTCAGGCATGGATTCCAAAAAGGCCCTCAAGACAAACCCCCAGCCGCGCCCCAATCACTCAAAGGGCTGAACCCGAAAAGGGTTCCAGATACAGAAGCGCCCAGAATCCCCTGAATTCTAAAGAGGACCTCAAAGTCCTAAGCAAGCAAACCCCAAGCAAACCTCCCAACAAAGCCTCGGGCCCAACTTGGGTTTTAGGCTATTGGGAGGGCGGGGCCCCAAGTGCCTTGGGGGCTTAGGCGTTTGAAGAAGGCTTAGGGATTGGCAGGGCGGGGTCTATGTGCCTTAGGCGCTTCGGGGTCTGAAGAAGGCTCAGGGATTTAAGGCTTCAGGGCACTTGGTGTTCTGGGGTTCTGAAACCCACCCTTTTGTCATGATCCCTAAACCCTAAACCCTAAACCCTAAACCCTAAACCCTAAACCCTAAACCCTAAACCCTGAGACTTAGAGGTCCTGAGTTTTTTGCAACTTTCTTGTCCCAGGTGCCTCACCGAAGGCAGGGGCCTGGTGGACGATGCACGTGCCGGCCTCTGGGTGGTTCTTCAGGGTGCGCGAATACGGGTTTTCTGGGTTTAGGGTTTAGGGGTTTAGGGCTTAGGGTTTGAGATCTGTTTGGCGGTTTAGGGTTTAGGGGTTTTTTTTTTAACAACCCTTCACTCCTTTTCGGGCGAGCTTACAGCTAGGGTAGGTTACGAAACCGGAAAGCAATGCCCCTCAGTACTCCCTGTGCATGATCATGTCACGCGCCCACGTCTAGACGCGCCAACGAGCCCATCTCTGTCACCTCCACCACCACCTTCCTCCACCAAACCCTGCATGACTGGTCGAAGCTGAGCATGGTCAAGAAACACTCAGGCACTTCCAGGAACCATGGCCAGGGTTTAGGGTTTAGGGTTTAGGGTTTAGGGTTTAGGGTTTAGGGTTTAGGGTTTAGGGTTTACAACGAGGGATCGAAACCCTGATCTTATGGGTTCTGAGTAGAGACATTCCCTTAATGCAAGGTACCTAATTAACAAGGTTCTGAGTAGAGATATTCCCTTAATGGGGTACAAGGTACCTAATCAACACTGTTCCTCTTAGGAACTGTAGCAAGTAATTGCAAGGTGCAAGGCCTTGGAGCCTGTAGCGCTTTTCCATGGGATCGGATGGTTTAAGCAAGGGTTAGGGTTTTGGGCTTGAGGGTTTGCAGGGGGTTGTGGGGCTTAAGGGCTGGGTGGCTTAAGGGCTGGGTCTCAGGTTAGTTCGGTCGATTTCTAAGAGGCAGCTAACTTCCTCCACCCTTCAACCAAGCTTCACACATACGCATGCGGCCTCCAAAAAACCCAACCATGGAGACCAAATGAACCCTAAAAGCCTAACAGGGTTTAAGGCTCATATCCCTTAATAGGAAGCCGAGTAGTATAGAGCGTATGACCCACCCCCCCCCCCCCCCCCCCCACCCCCCCCCCCCCCCAAAAAAAAAAAAAACAATAACAATAAGAATCATAAAGGAACAGCGTTCATTGGGTCCCCCAAAGAAAGGAAAGCCCCTGCCTCTGTGGAGACATAGCCATCCGAGACGATCTGCCAGGCCTCATCACGTGCCTTCGTCCATACGTCTGGGTCGGAGCAACCCCCCCCCCCCCCCCCCCCCCAAAAAAAGCAGAACCGTTTAAAGCGCTCAGGTTCGGAGCTGAGCGTTTTAGGCTTTAGGGTGTAAAGGGCTCAAGGAGTTACAGGTTTCAATCTGAGCCTAAAACGCTAGACTGCCACAACAGGTTTCAATCTGAGCCAGACTGCCACACCCTGGCAGAACCCCTGGAGCCTGTAGAGATTCCGGTATCTCACTCAACCCCTTGGTTGCACGAGACGCCAGACATCATCCTGCATTCCTCTGTCGGTACCTCCTCAACCAAGGTCACAGAAGGACCCTAAACCCCAAACCAAAACCCTAAACCCTATTTGGGGCTCGAAGTCCGGTCTTCAACGGCTTCTGAACCGTCTCTCAACGGAGCCCCTGTAGCGCCCAAAATCCCGCCACCAAAGGCCCGAAAACTGGAACCTGAACCCCCCCCCCCCCCCCCACAAAAAGGCTCAGCCTCAACTCGAAACTCTCGATAGACTCGAAGCTAACCCCCTAAACCCTGGAAAAAACCACTAAAACCCCTAAACAGGCCCTACAGCCCTATAAACCCTAAACCCCATAAACCCATAAACCCCCGAAGCCCGTGGCCTTGCCCTTAAAGTAGTCGAAGAGGGGCTCGTACTTGAGCCCTTTGAGTTCTTTGCCCTCACAAGGCTTCTCAGAGATTTTGGGGTTTGAAGGGGTTTAGGGTTTAGGGTTTAGGGTTTAGGGTTTAGGGTTTAGGGTTTAGGGTTTAGGGTTTAGGGTTTAGGGGTTTAGGGTTTAGGGGTTTTCTGTGGGAGGTGGGGAGGGGAGGGATGATCGGGGGGTCCTTGTGGGTTTTAGGTGTTTCTAGGGGGCTTTGAGTGACATTTTTGGACTTGAATGGCTGTTGCTTTGATCATTTGGGGTGAGGGTACAACAGGTTAGGGATGTAGATGTTGGGTGGGGGTCAAGTTGACAACAATCGTGCCCCTAACCCTAAACCCTAAACCCTAAACCCTAAAGCTCCCTGAACCCCTCCAACCTGCCAAGCCCAGAGTACCATCGACCCCAAAATTCGTCCCCAAAAAAATAATCGAAATCCCAAATCCTTGAGGAGCCTCTGAAACCTCTGAAACCTCTGAAACCTCTGAAACCTCTGAAGCCCCTAGACCCTAGACCCTAGACCCTAAACCCTAAACTCTAAACCCTAAACCCTAAACCCTAAACAAACCCTAAGCCCTCGAAGTCATCAACTGAAAGCCATGTCCTGCTTGCTCCACAGGATCTTGAAGTCCTTCAGCAGCTTTGGGGCTTAGGGCTATAAGGGCTAAGGGCTTAGGGCTTATCGCTTCGGGTTTAAGGTTTAGGGCTTTTTGGGCTTATAGGGCTTAGGGCATAGGGTTTAAGGTTTGGGGCTTAGGCCCTGGCTTTTTGTTGGCAAAGTGGGGTTTTGGCGGTGCAAGGTTGACGCCTTTGTGGCTGGCAGTCGTGGCCTGGACAGCACGTTAGGGTTTGGGGTCCGGGGTCGACACTCGGGTTTATTAGGTTTAGGTTTAAGGTTTAGGGTTTAGGGTTTAGGGTTTAAGGTCTAGGGTCTAGGGTCTAGGGTTTAGGGTTTAGGGTTTAGGGTTTAGGGTTTAGGGTTTAGGGTTTAGGGTTGCGTAAGGGTTATATAGGCTTGGAGACACGCCAGCTTGGAGGCGTCCCTTGTGGGTGGTTCACAAACCCAAGAGCACCCCAAATACCCTGAGCCCCTGAACCCGAGACTCTCACAGCCCAAAAAAAACCTGAGTCTCAACCCTAAACGGCCCCAAAAGTGTGCCTTCTCAGCATTCTTCTTGATGGAGGAGCAGATCCAGGGCCAGCGATCCTGGCTGCAGCTATACCCCTAAGCAGGGCTTCGGGTTCAAACAGGGTGTTTTCGGACTTGGGGTCAATGCTTCAATATCCGATACTGTGATTGTTTACCGGCCGCCAGCCGACAGGCGCCAATTTCGCTTTGAGGTTTGAGGTCAAGGGCTTTGGAGTCTCGAGCTGGAGCTTTCAGGGTGTTTAGGGGTTTCAAACCCGGCACGTGGGGCCGAAAGGCTCGAGAGTGTGAAATCTCCGCTCTCCATAGTATTTACCCGCTCGGAAGCCACAAGTTGTGCTGGTGAGCTGAGATTGCCAAGTGAAGCTTGAGACTGCCAAAAAGTCAAGAAGGCAGCAAAGAAAGGGTGATCTAAGGAACACAGGGGTTTACCGTCACCCCGAATCCTGCACTCTACGCCCTCATGCCCAAGCCCAAGCCCTCCATCTGAGCTCGACGTGTACAGGGTTCAGGGTTGCCAAGGGATGCCTTGCCAACAATCCACTTGACGTGGGTGGACGTGTTCTCGACCTGGAGGTACCTCGTTTGGGGGGGTTTAGGTTTAGGGCCGAACAGAACCCTACAAAGCCAGGAGAATACAACAGACCCCGAGACGAAGACAAAAAATGTAGCTGAATAACCGGGGGCCCACCAACCTCGAAAGCTGCAGAGCTCTATACACCCATAGGGTGTAGAGGGTGTAGGGTACCCGACCATCGACTTCAAGTAGGGATGCAGTCGAGGAGGAATGGCAGCTATGGGAAGAACATCGATTCTTTAGGGGCCCTGTTGACACTCTACCTCAACCTCCTCAAATTTCGGAACCCCTAGGCATCCTGACCCCTTCACTTCTGTCCATCCTAAACCCTAAACCCTAAACCCTAAACCCTAAACCCTAAACCCTAACCCCGAGGCACGTCAGTTCAGGGTTCACGCAGAGTGCCACGTTGGAGGGGAGAGTCCAGGGCGTCGTTGTCCATGCCAGGACAAAGGAGTTCTCCTCTCCAAGAGTGCCGCAGTGGCTTCCCTGCATCTAAGCACTTCGCCCCGAATTGAGGGTTTAGGTTTGCGTTTCGGGCTCACTAGAGCTCTTTTTGAGCCCTCTGAAATCGAAACCCACTCCGAGGTTTATGGGCTGCTTATCGAGCCTCTCACATGCAGGAAAGATCACAGGTTTGGCTGAAAGGGGAAGGATTTATGGCTGCTAACCCGAGGCGCCCAAGTCAACATCCAAGCCTTCAAGAAGTCCTAAGTCCTCCCAAAAGGGTTTGGGGTTTAGGGCTTGGGCGTTGAGGAGCCGTACACAAAGAAGTTCACATCTTTGAGTGCTGAAGGTGGCGCGCAGGCTGCACAGGGAGGTGAGGGCCCTCCCACTTCTCGACCCTGGACGCAAAATTCAAATTTTAGGAGGTTGAGTTATAACCGTTGAACCCTGAACCTGTCCACGTCAAGACCCCAAAATGGGACCCTGATTTAGAAAGCGCATCTAGGGCAATCTAGGGTTTAGAGCTCAGCGCTCGTGAGAGGGGATCTGGGACCATCTTCAAACTGTCCGCCCGGCTCCCAGCAAGACTGGTCAAGCAAGCCGGGCATGCCTCGTTTTTCAGCCTGGAGCCCAATGGAGCTGAGGGTTTAAGTGTTCGAGCTTGACTGTGCCTTGGAGCTTAGAGCTTAGGATTTAGGGTTTGGAACCTCCTAATGCTGAGGATTCGGAACTTAGCACTTTGGTGCATATGCAAATTAAGCCAAAGAACAGCCGACGTGCCCTCTGCCCCCCCCCCCCCCCCATTCCAAGGCTTCCGGTTTGGAGTTGAGGGCTGAGACTTGAGAAGCAGAAAGTCGCTGCCGCAAGTAGAGTATCTGGGTCAATCGTGCTGACACTGTAGCAAGCAAGCACACCTCTGCCCAAATTCAGGCCGGTGCTTGAACTGCACGATGATGGAAGGATCCGAGACCTCCTTGTAGTTCTGCGACACCTGCTGTTCAGGTCAACAGCCCGTACGACAGGGAGCCCCCGAAGCCTTGCAAGCACGATGCAGCACCGGAGGCTGAACATGTCTGCCCAAACCACATTAAGCTGCAACACCGGATGAAACCATTAAGGCGCTCCAACGTGGATCGAAGTTCAAGGATACGTACTTCGGGTTTAAGGTTGAGGGCTTCAGTGCTTCAGGATTTCGGCATGCAGTGATTCCTGCTCGCGTTCAGCTTTTCGTGCACTGTAGGGAAAACTGGTGCCCAAATCTGAGTCCCAAACCCTTAGCAACACCAAACCGTCAAAGCCCAAAAGCCCCGATACCACAAGAGCAAAGACACAAACCCGGAACCTTTTGGTTTTTGGGCTAAACCCAAAGGCCTAAGGCCTAAACCGATAGGCTCAACACTTCCTTCCCCTTAAGCCCCAGATCACTACGCCTCGAAGTTGGACAGGGGAGTGGCGCAAGCGGTGCTGTAGGGCATGACGCGGAAGGCCCTGGTAGATCAGGCTGTGCGAGTGTCGGGCGGGCGGTGCGGGGGCAGGGAGGGGGGGGGGGGGGGGAACATGGGTTTTGGTTTAATTACGTATGCGGTTTGCTTTTGAGGTTGCGAGAACTGAACTCAAAAACCTCCTCGCCTCGCCTAGGTCTCCTGCACTCCTCCCCCGGTCACCTTCGCAAAGAGTCCCGCACAGTGTCCTTGGAGTGCCCACCCCCAAAGAGAATCCCGACGAACAAACAAACTAGGTGCCTGAAAAATAGTAGAATAGGGTCTTGAGGGGTTCTTATAGTATCATTACAAGGGAGCATAAGGGACAGCCCTGATCCCTATTTCAAAGGTCAGAGTGTGGCCGGAAAAGGAGGAGGAGGAGGGCCGTTGCTCGGGGCAGACATGTTCAACATCTCAACTCTCCGGCCCCACTCGAAGATCAAACGCGTATTTCCCAACGGCTTAGGGTTAGGATTTAGGGTTTAGGATTTAGGGTTTAGGGTTTAGGATTTAGGGTTTAGGGTTTAGGATTTGGGGTTTAGGGTTCACATCGCACGCCTGGCAGGCCAAACGGGCCTGCAGAAAACAAGCACCAGGCAGTACCCGAAATCCTGAGGCCCGAATTCCCGTCCTGTAGACCATGCCTTTGTCATACAGCTGCTTGAAGACCCACCAGCAACTGGCGGAATCAGAGCTGGCAGGGATTAAAGTCCGTGGCGAGGAGTCCGAAAAGCCTAAACCCTAAAACTCAAACCCTTAAGCAGCTCATGTTCTTTAGGGTTTAACCCCTAAAGCCCTAAACTCCCCTCAACCCTCAACCCTATAAACCCTCGACCCACTTCCACAGTCATGGTCCAGCGGTTTGTGACTTCCACTGTCAAGGGCCCCAAGGAGCTGAAGGAGAATCACGAAACACAAGCCCTGACCCCACTACCCCCACAAGGGTCGAGGGTTTGGGGTGTAGTTAGGGTTTGACGGTTTAGGGTTTAGGGTTTAGGGTTTAGGGTTTAGGGTTTAGGGTTTCGGGTTTCGGGCTTAAGGTTAAGGGTGTAGGGTGTAGGGTTTAGGGTTTAGGGTTTAGGGTTTAGGGTTTAGGGTTTAGGGTTTCGGGTTTCGGGTTCCGGGCTTAAGGTTAAGGGTGTAGGGCTTGGGGTTTAGGGCTTCACTGCTTCACCACAGGCAGGGCAGTAGTTGGTGGCTTCTCTCTGCAGATAAAGGGCCTCCATCCCGTAAGCCAAGACCCCAAATCCTGAAATCTTACACCCAAGCGCGCAACTCCAAACCCTCAGACCTACACTGTTGGTTGAACCCCTAAACCACAAACCGCTAAATCCCTAAACCCCGACCTCCTAAACCCTGAACCCTAAATCTCTAGACCTCAAGCTTGAGTAAACCCTAAACCCTAAATCCCTAAACCCTACAGTCAACCAGGGAGCTCAGCCCCCCTCCCCAGGCTGAAAGCTCATAGGCTTCGGGTTTGTGCTTTAGTGTCTGGGGCTTTCGGATTTCGGGTTAACCTTAATAATACCCCGAAACTTGAGTAGGCCCGAAGGAAACCAAATAACCCGAACCCTAAACCCTAAACCCTAAACCCTAAACCCTAAACCCTAAACCCTATTTCAGTGTTTGATGTTCAGGGTTTGTAGCGACTCGGGGTTGGCAAACAGCATATGGCCCTAAACCTTATACTCGTGGCCCTCCGGGGTCCGGTGGTGGCACATGCCCAGGAGGTGGCAAAGCGTCTTTCTACCAGCTCAGGGGAGCCGAAAATAGTCCAAAATCGCCATTGCGGCAGTTGAAAAGTGAGTAAAGGATCTCCACATTTACCACTGAAAAAAACTGAGAATTGAAGCCTGCATGATTGCCGTCGACACACACCGCGCTCCTTCCCGTTCTGGCTGGGCCATCGGATGGTACTGTAAGGGGCTGGAAACGTGTGCCGAATGCAGCTGTGAAACAGTTGCCGAACGCAGTTGAAACATTTGAACAGCATGGAAGAATTGAAGACACCGAAGCCCATCGCCTCACTAAATCCATAACTTCAGCGACTGAAGATGCGCTGAAGACCATCAAGGCCAACACAGGCCCACTGCACCTCGCCATTACCCTTGCTGGGCTGCTGTTGAAAAAACAGACCTCGACCCAGTCGACAGTCTCTGGCGCTCTCCGAAGCGCACATGCCGTCGTATCTCCACCTGGGGGCACACCGGAAGGTTTAGGAATGATTCCTAAGTCACGACTCGCCT